TCACCAAAGAGTGCCAGCAGATGGTTAGACTCATCTCTGTGCTGTCAGCACAGAGACGGACCTCCCGTCGTCCCGTCTGTCTGTCCGTCTGTGTGCCACAGGCCTCATTTCTGTTTTATCACCGACATTCGATACTCGAGTTCAATTTGTTTCATCGGAATACCGAACGTAAATATTATTAGATGTTATAATGTGTCTTGAATAAATATGCTTGTAAGTGACAATGTCCTATGAAAATAAGTACCTGTAGATGCTCGTTTTCAATTGTAATTTGAGGTGAATGATATTTACTTCCTACGTTACTGGCGAGACAGTATTTTGTTATCGCGAAATTTGCCGAAAATCATTTATTGTGTTTTTTGGATGCAATATTCTACCAGCGGTTTCTAGAGCTTAAAATAAGAAGAAAAGTTTATATAAACATAGGTCGACAAACGTCCCCTAAGGGCGCTACGGTCTTTTAAAGGGGCTCCCCTGAATATGGTTTTTCCTTAATATTTCCGAAACGTGTTGAGATAAAGACATAAAATTTGGTATTCTAGCCTAGTTTTTTATGCTGGATTTAAAAATATTAACAATTTGAGTCAGTTTTGTTCGGAAGCGTATGTAACAGGGACGGACTCGGGTTATTTTCGCCCCAAAATTTTTGTGCGATTCTATTTTTGAAATTCAATTTTAGAATTTGAAAATTTAGGGTTTTCTACAGAAAAAAGGTACTCTTATTAAATATCGATAAATTGTGCCATTTTTGAATAAAATCAAACTAAAAAATTTGTCACATTTTAGGAAATGTACTGCGAATTTAAATGAATTGTTGATTATACATAGTTAGCCATGACTGCAAACAAAAGTTGTTTTGCTTTGTTATGACTTATTTTGACGTTAAGCTGACATTGTTAGCAGTGTAAAATTGCTAGATTAAAATCAAAATTTTTATTAAATCGATTTAAAATGCCAAGATTTACAGACAGAGAACTGACTGACATGCATAGTAAAATTTATTTCTTTTGCTTTTGCCTAAATGTTAGCTATGTTGCAATATAAATATGTATTTATGTAATATTTACCAATTATTAAATTAGTTTTTTCGTTGCCATGGCGAATTATTCAACAATTCATTTAAATTCGCAGTAAGTACATTTCCTATCATGAGACAAATTTTTTAGTTTGATTTTATTCAAAAATGGCGCAATTTATCGATATTCAATAAGAGTACCTTTTTTATGTAGAAAACCCTAGATTTTCAAATTTTAAAATTGAATTTCAAAAATAGAGTCACACAAAAATTTTGGGGCTAAAATAACCTGAGTCCGTCTCTGTTACATACGCTTCCAAACAAAACTGTCTAAAATTGTAAATATTTTTAAATCCGGCATAAAAAACTAGACTAGAATACCAAATTTTATGTCTTTATATCAATACGCTTCGGAAATATTAAGGAAAAAGTCCCTTTAAAAGACCGTAGCGCCCTTAGGGGACGTTTGTCGACCTATGTTTATATAAACTTTTCTCCCTATTTTAAGCTCTAGAAACCGCTGATAGAATATTGCACACTTTTTTCGCGACACCCTGTATATTACATTCATTTGAAAACTTCCAACCACGGATATATCGAAAACCACTGAAAAGAAAAAACGCCGAGACATGTCGAAAGATTTGTCAAGGAGGACAACTTTTCAACCAAAAACTACTTCACCCTCGGGTCATTCCCATCGCCAAATCTACAATTCGTTTATAATTCAAAACGGAAACTAGATACCAACATAAAAACAGCAATTCGGAGGATCAGACGCGGCAACAACCAAATAACAACCCGAATTTTTTCCGCATTATTTTCATCAACACAGACATCCTGAACGAACTGTATTTATTGTTATACCTGTTTAGTTATTTGTTGCTAAGGGAAAGAAAGAATTTAATTTGCCGTCAGTTAGCTTTGTATCTTGATTTCGATTAATGATCAAAAAATGAGATATACCTTCTAACACCCATCTACAACCCCCCCACCCCCTACGTTTTGCCAGTCCATCATTTCGGATTTTGTATTCCAGGACAATAAAGCATAAGAAGAAAAAATGAGTTAGTGTATGACGATATTGAAAAATTAACGAACAAGGCATTTTAAACGGAAATAGTCATCTGGCTCGACTTACGGCGCATCTGGCGACAACCCGACCCGTCAATCTTGGCAATATTTTGTCAAGATCCGTTTGACAATGGTCCCAAATCACATTTGACTTTGTCAATACTTATTCGAGGATTACAACACTATTATGGGCATGGCAGAAATCCCCGAAAGGCAGGATAGACGCGCGTACCCCTTTTGGCTGCCTCTGGGGTGTCTTTTAACGACAAACAAATGAAGTGCGTGGGAACGTGCCCGGTCACGGCTTACCGCGATACCGAGGAAGAAGAAGGTAAGCTGCTTTGGGAAACACGTGGCGATTAAGGAAAGTTCCTGGGTACTTATTGTGGGCGGTTGGTCGGCTTTACCTGCTTATTGCTGACGATTATAATGATGATGAGCTTCCTTTCAAGGAGAATTTGTGGTTTTATAGATAAAATTATCTACACAGACGGATAAAAGTGATCCAATTGCCTATAGTTTCCTAGACATCCTAATCTGATATTGCAAAAATAACGATATTTGTCTATATTTTAGGATTCCTAGCACTTTCGTTGAGATATAAAATATTTTGAAATTTTCATTTTTCTGATCGAAAAACAGATGTTTCTGTTCATGAAGAATTAATCTCAGCACAAGTTTAATGCTCTGAGAAAATCAGTTACTCACATGTACGATAGCGAAATTAAGCGGATCAAGTAAGCCAAATAGGCCCATATCATTGGTCCATAGACGTTTTTATCTAAACTGACTAAAATATGAGTACCCAGCCTTTCTATGATGCCTGACTTCTTCTGAAAACGGGTGCCAGCGATTTAGCAGTAATTTAGAAAAGGAATTTCTTCATCACAAATTGAGAAAGATCGAGGCAAGAGTGGCGATACACCAAATATACTAAGTGACATATAAATCCGAACACCCAGTTTAAATGATTTTATTTTAATAAAATTTTGTATAAGTACTTAATGAAGTAAATGATAAAGTAAATGATAAAAATTTCAAAATGATTGCACTGCTTTAAAGCCCTTTGACCTTTAATAATGTGTGGATGCACCCTGATGTGCTACGCATTCTCCAACGCGCCTAGGCATGCTTCTGATCAGGTGGTCAATGTCCTCCTGTGGTATCTCATTCCAGGCAACCACCAACTCCTCTCGAAGTGCTTCTAGAGTCTGAGGAGGACGTTGCAAATTGAGCAATCTCCTACCCATCATATCCCACACGTGCTCAATTGGGGATAAGTCGGGAGATCTTGGTGGCCATGGTAACAATGTGACATCATTATGTTGAAAGAAGTCTATTGTGACTCTTGCAACATGTGGTCGGGCATTATCTTGTTGGAAAGTTGGATCTGCCAGGGTGTCAAGATAGGGTAAAAGATGGGGTTCTAGAACTTCGTGGATATAACGCTGCGCGTTCATGTTACCTCTGATGAAGATTAAAGGTGACCTGGAACCATAAGCTATAGCACCCCAAACCGTAACTCCAACAGTGTGATGAACATGTCTTTCAACAAAAAAACTGTGGATTCCTCCTTTCACCACGTCGCCTTCTAACCCTGGCACGACCATCGTGCATGCCTAAACAAAATCGAGACTCGTCACTAAAGACAATTCTGTTCCATTCCTGATCCCAGAGTGACCGTTGTCTGCACCATTCAAGGCGATTACGTCGGTGTTCTCGAGTTAAAGGGAGGACCCAGTGTGGCCGGTATGAAAACAAGCCAAAACTTCTCATTCGTCGGTAAACACTTCGCATGCCAATAGGTCTTCCATGTTCTGCAAACCATTCATTTGCAATGGACCTGGTAGTGGAGAAACGGTCCCTTAAGGCCAATAATCTTAGGCGGCGATCGCCACGGTCTGTTCTACGGCGGCGTCCAGTGCCCCGTGCTCTTTGCGTACGGCCTTCTCGAAGCCATGCCTAACAACACCTAACCACAGTGTCTACACTTCTTTGCACTCCAACTGCAATTGCCCGAAAAGAAAGTCCAGCTTCCCGAAGTCCCACTATACGGCCCCTATCAGACTCACTAAGTTGACGAAATCGTACAGGTCTCCGTACTCTAGGCATCGTAACCGATCATAAAGGATGTCAAGAACCAAAATCCGCCAACGTTGATTCTTTAGAGCGTTAATGAATTAAAAAAAAGCAGTTCAAAAACCGGAATGTCCAACTGATATGGCTGAAAATTTTTTCACTTGTTATTTACAGTAAGATAAATACATTCACCAACTTTTATTAAAATAAAACCATTTAAACTGGGTGTTCGGATTTATATGTCACTTAGTATATATCGACTTCTTAGTGTAAATTATGACATGAAAATTACATCGTAAGAAGTGTTGAGGAAATTTTCTGAATTCGAATTTATTTGGATGTCTAAAAGTTTGTTCTCACCGACACATAATCACAAATCCAAGCATTCAATTTTCCTTGTTCCCCCTAAAAACTTCCCCTTGGATCCGCCCCTGAATCTAATCAAACAGAAACCAAATCCTCTATTGTCGACCACTATCACCAGTCACTGCAATCAATCACCTATTACGACATCACCGGAAGCTTCGATGATGATCACTTCACGTCAACTATCACACCAGATATGATCGTTGCCATGTTCTTCGCAATCATCTCCTGTCATACGCAACTTTCGGCATCTCCTTAGCAAAACAATCATTTTTGCATCGCCCCCTGCTTAAAAAATCTCCGGCGGCCACATCGCGGCGTCTAAAGGCGTGGCCGACGATCGATCGGGGCGTGACTCTGGAAACGCGAGGCGTTGATTGGGCGGGGGGCGCGGCTGACGGATGACAGGCGCACAGATGGCAGCATCCCTTTTCCCCAGCTGCCTCTGTTTTCACTAGTAACATTGTGCCGGCGCGAGAAGCAACATTCGCTGTTTTTACTTAATCTCTGTGTAAACGGGACCGTGTTGTGTATCATAATATCGGCCAGGCGGACTTGTTTTCGGAAGATTGATTGGAATGAAAACACGAAGTGTTGAAATAACAGCGGCGATGTTTTCGTTTTAGGAAGAGCGCGGCACCGCGGTGCGTACACCGTGTTGTTTGTTGTTCGGCGAGTGTATTCTGCAGGTCTACCATGCACACCATTTTCACGGAGCACCATCATCAGTCCGCGTACAACCGCTACGGGGGTGGATACCACCCCGGCGCAGTCTCGGCCGCCGCCAGTCCGTACTACGACCAGTACTCTAGGTACTTACTACAGTTCTTCTACTATAAGTCGGGTTGTGTTAAGTGGTTCCCGAAATGGCGCCCAACGTGCGGTCCAAAGTCCATGATTTCCGAAATTGTATCTAACACTGGAATCCGTCATCTATAAACCTTAATTTTTGATCAAACTATAATTTATTGGCGTTTGTGAAGTGTTTTCCGAAATGGCGGCCAACACGAGGTTCAGAACGTCTGATTTCCAAAATGGCGCTTAACAGTCAAATACAGAATGTAGAAATTTCGATTTTTGACGAAACTAAAATTCATTCTGATTGAAAACAGGAGACGACTAGTTTCCTCAATCTTGCAATGGCATGTGTGAAGTGTTTTCCGAAATGGCGACCGTCGGGTTTAGAGTCTACGTTTCCGAACTTGCTACCAGCAGTGTTATCCGGAATCTAGAAATCTTAATTTTCAACCAAACTATAGTTCATTGCACTTACAATGGCGTGTGTGAAGTGTTTTCCGAAATGGCGACCAACGCGAGGTTTAGAGTTTCCGATTTCCAAAATTGCTTTTAACCGTGAAATAAACTTCAATTTTTGACGAAATTAAAAAATCATTCTGATTGAAAACGGGAGACGACTAGTTTCCTCAATCTTGCGATAGCATGTGTGAAGTGTTTTCCGAAATGGCGACCGTCGGGTCCAGAGTCTACGATTTCCGAACTTGCTACCAGCAGTGTTATCCGGAATCTAGAAATCTTAATTTTCAACCAAACTATAGTTCATTGCACTTACAATGGCGTGTGTGAAGTGTTTTCCGAAATGGCGACCAACGCGAGGTTCAGAGTTTCCGATTTCCAAAATTGCTTTTAACGGTGAAATAAACTTCAATTTTTGACGAAATTAAAAAATCATTCTGATTGAAAACAGGAGACTACTAGTTTCCTCAATCTTGCAATGGCATGTGTGAAGTGCTTTCCGAAATGGCGACCGACGGGTCCAGAGTCTACGATTTCCGAACTTGCTACCAGCAGTGTTATCCGGAATCTAGAAATCTTAATTTTCAACCAAACTATAGTTCATTGCACTTACAATGGCGTGTGTGAAGTGTTTTCCGAAATGGCGACCAACGCGAGGTTTAGAGTTTCCGATTTCCAAAATTGCTTTTAACCGTGAAATAAACTTCAATTTTTGACGAAATTAAAAAATCATTCTGATTGAAAACGGGAGACGACTAGTTTCCTCAATCTTGCAATGGCATGTGTGAAGTGTTTTCCGAAATGGCGACCGTCGGGTCCAGAGTCTACGATTTCCGAACTTGCTACCAGCAGTGTTATCCGGAATCTAGAAATCTTAATTTTTAACCAAACTATAGTTTATTGCACTTACAATGGCGTGTGTTAAGTGTTTTCCGAAATGGCGACCAACGCGAGGTTCAGAGTTTCCGATTTCCAAAATTGCTTTTAACGGTTAAATAAACTTCAATTTTTGACGAAATTAAAAAATCATTCTGATTGAAAACAGGAGACGACTAGTTTCCTCAATCTTGCAATGGCATGTGTGAAGTGCTTTCCGAAATGGCGACCGTCGGGTCCAGAGTCTACGATTTCCGAACTTGCTACCAGCAGTGTTATCCGGAATCTAGAAATCTTAATTTTTAACCAAACTATAGTTTATTGCACTTACAATGGCGTGTGTGAAGTGTTTTCCGAAATGGCGACTAACGCGAGGTTCGGAGTTTCCGATTTCAAAAATTGCTTTTAACGGTGAAATAAACTTCAATTTTTGACGAAATTAAAAAAATCATTCTGATTGAAAACGGGAGACGACTAGTTTCCTCAGTCTTGCGATAGCATGTGTGAAGTGTTTTCCGAAATGGCGACCGTCGGGTCCAGAGTCTACGATTTCCGAACTTGCTACCAGCAGTGTTATCCGGAATCTAGAAATCTTAATTTTTAACCAAACTATAGTTCATTGCACTTACAATGGCGTGTGTGAAGTGTTTTCCGAAATGGCGACCAACGCGAGGTTCAGAGTTTCCGATTTCCAAAATTGCTTTTAACGGTGAAATAAACTTCAATTTTTGACGAAATTAAAAAATCATTCTGATTGAAAACAGGAGACTACTAGTTTCCTCAATCTTGCAATGGCATGTGTGAAGTGCTTTCCGAAATGGCGACCGTCGGGTCCAGAGTCTACGATTTCCGAACTTGCTACCAGCAGTGTTATCCGGAATCTAGAAATCTTAATTTTTAACCAAACTATAGTTTATTGCACTTACAATGGCGTGTGTGAAGTGTTTTCCGAACTGGCGCCCAACGCGAGGTTCAGAGTTTCCGATTTCCAAAATTGCTTTTGACGGGGAAATAAACTTCAATTTTTAACGAAATTAAAAAATCATTCTGATTGAAAACGGGAGACGACTAGTTTCCTCAATCTTGCGAAAGCATGTGTGAAGTGTTTTCCGAAATGGCGACCGTCAGGTCCAGAGTCTACGATTTCCGAACTTGCTACCAGCAGTGTTATCCGGAATCTAGAAATCTTAATTTTTAACCAAACTATAGTTTATTGCACTTACAATGGCGTGTGTGAAGTGCTTTCCGAAATGGCGACCAACGCGAGGTTCAGAGTTTCCGATTTCCAAAATTGCTTTTAACGGTGAAATAAACTTCAATTTTTGACGAAATTAAAAAATCATTCTGATTGAAAACAGGAGACGACTAGTTTCCTCAATCTTGCAATGGCATGTGTGAAGTGCTTTCCGAAATGGCGACCGTCGGGTCCAGAGTCTACGATTTCCGAACTTGCTACCAGCAGTGTTATCCGGAATCTAGAAATCTTAATTTTTAACCAAACTATAGTTTATTGCACTTACAATGGCGTGTGTGAAGTGTTTTCCGAAATGGCGGCCAACACAAGGTTCAGAATGTCTGATTTCCAAAATGGCGCTTAACAGACAAATACAGAATGTAGAAATTTCAATTTTTGACGAAACTAAAAATCATTCTGATTGAAAACAGGAGACGACTAGTTTCCTCAATCTTGCAATAGCATGTGTGAAGTGTTTTCCGAAATGGCGACCGTCGGGTCCAGAGTCTCCGATTTCCGAACTTGCTACCAGCAGAAACCTTAATTTCTGACTAAACTATAATTTAATCTGATAGAAAATAGGATACGACCAGTTTCCTCAATCTTGCAATAGCATGCGTGAAGCGTTTTCCGAAATGGCGTCCAAAGAGTGGTTCAGAGTCTCTGATTTCAAAAATTACGCCCAACAGTGGAATCCCGAATCTATAAACCTTAACTCTTGAACAAACTATAATTTACTTGAGTAGAAAACAGAATTCGACCAGTTTCCTCGATATTGTCATAGCATGTGTGAGGAGTTTTCCGAAATGGCGACAAACGTGCGGTCTAGAACCTCTGATTTCCGAAATTGCCCATAACAGTGGCATCCTGGATCTAGAAACTTTAATTTTTGACGAAATTAATCAAAAATAGGACCAGCATCTTCAATCTTGAAATAGCACGTGTCGGGGTTTTTCGAAATGGCGCTTAACGTGTGGTCAGGGGTCCACGATTTTAGAAATTGCGTCTAACAGTGGCATCCGGTATCAAAAAGCTCTAATTTTTACCTTACCAAAAATCATTACAATAGAAAATAGAATATGACCAGTTTTGTGAATGTTGCAATAGCATGTGTGGAGTGTTTTCCAAAATGGCGACGAACGTGGAGTCGGGGGGTTTTTGATTTCCGAAATTGCGACCAACAGCGGACTCCGGAATCTAGATTGATTTTTAACCAAATAGAAAATATGGTATGACCTCTTTTCTCGATATCAAAATTGAGGGCGAAGTGCTATAGTATTTCCGAACACGCACCTTACCAGAGGTTCCAAATCTGAAAACTTGATGTTTTGCCAAACAGAGTCTCAACATAGTTCTTCTGTCTTAATACAAGTTATATGAACGTCGCTTTGTTCAATGTATTTTTGCACTAAAGGGTGTCCAACGTATTCCCCCCGCACTAATACTTATATACGCCACTGGATCTTTCCTTCAAGGAAAACCAAATTGGGCAACAGTCCACAGATCAACTAGAAACTCAATTGTCGCTTAATTCTATACAGGGTGGCGCATCGTAAACGAAACAGACGCATTTACTGGCATTTCAGTTTTTTTTTTGGAAAAACGCCCAGACCCGTTGATTTTGTTTTAAGCTTTAAATCAATAAATCTTCAAAACCACCGAACCGAACTGAAGCTCATGTATTTTACATCATTATAAAGGGAATTGAAAGACCTTTAAAATAAGGTATCACACGACCCCCCTTTCCGTTTAAGATTTTAGGGTTGGTGTCACCCCCGCTCAGGGGGTTGCACGTGCTAACGTGATTTTTTGCCAAACTTGTGTCCCCCTCGAAAACAAAATCGACGGGTCTGAGCGTTTTTACAAAAAAAAACTGAGCTGCCTGTTTCGTTTTCGATGCGCCACCCTGTATACACTGATTCCTTATACATTTCTTCTGTAATTATTATCCTCTATTGAGGCTTCCTCTCATTTAACCTTATATCCTGTTTCCCATACATGCTTTCTTCTTTGTTATACAGGGTGTTAATAAAGTACGTAGACAAACTTTGACCATCGAATCCTTGGTCAATTTGAAGACTAAATGTACATGGGACCAAGGATTCGTTGGTTAATGTTTGTTTACATACTTTTTTAACACACTGTTTAATCCTTATGTTCTTGAATTCTACATTTAACGGGTATAGATGTTTACCATCTGGACTACAAGCTAGCGTTGCACGTCATAATAATGGTCTATTTTTTAATACAAAATTTGAAGCACAACTACTTCTTGGAAACTGGAATAAAAACCGGCGAAAGCGCTACCGAAGAAACCCAGAACACTATGTCCATTTTCGACGTTTCCGTTCTTTATTTCATCTATGGTTTTATTTTGGGCGTTTTTGTATCTTTCACCTATAAAACCGTATGCGGGAAATCTCGGAGCAAGATCGAACATGTCGTATACACTTGGCCAGAGAAGATCGAGCCTGCAACAAGGAACATAATCAGGTATTCACTGCAACTTTTGGAATCTGGAATATAGTTTCCGACTGGTCTTAAATTATTAAATGGGAATACTATCGTCGCTTATGGATAGAAAAAATTCCAAGCGGAAGGTACCGTGTCTAAGTTTGAAACTGACAATAATTGAACCGAAACATCATTCCACGTAATTTAACAACAACAAAATAGATTTTAATAATTCTAGACGTATATATTCAGCGTCCCTCACTAGTAAAATGATTAAATTTTCAGCTTCAGAAGCTGTGTTGAGGTTCCACGATTTCTTCACTCATTATAGGTCGTGGTCGTGGATATCCTGTTGGGGTATCTCATTTCAGGCTACAGCCACTTGAGTAAGAGCTGCTAAAGTCCGTGGGGGTGTTGCAAATGCAAGAGCCTGCGACCTATCATGTCCTAGACATGTTCAATTGGAGATAGGTCCGGCGATCGTGGAGGCCAAGATAAACGGTTGATGCGATGTTGAACCATGAAGGCTAACGATGTTCTGGCAACGTGCGGTCTGGCATTGTCTTGCTGAGAAATCGGGTTTTGGATGAAGCCAATTTCTTCTTATCCAATAATTCACAAAAATATAATGTAAAATGCGCAATACTTATTGAAACTGGGCAATTTATAATCTCAAACTAATGTCTCACGCCGCGTACCGCCCGAAAAACGGTCGATTTTTCGACTTTACCGGCCGTTTTCGATCCGATCCGTTCCTCTCGCCGCGACGGCTCTCGCTCCCCGATAAAGCGCCGAGTTTCTACTTTCCGAAACGGTACCTCTTTCCTTCCGGACGTTTCGCGAACCTCCTAAAAAACCGGAAAAACCGCGTCGACGTCACACGGGCTGAATCTCTAACGTCACATGGCCTCTACCAAAAAACAATCGATCACCGCTTAATATAGTCGACTAATGTCTCACGCCGCGTACCGCCCGAAAAACGGTCGATTTTTCGACTTTACCGGCCGTTTTCGATCCGATTCCTCCCTCTCACCGCTCCGGCTGTCGCTCCCCCGTAAAGCGCCGACTTTCTAGTTTCAGAAACGGTATCGCTTTCCTTCCGAACGTTTCGCGAACCGGGAAAAAAACCAGAAAAACCGCGTCGACGTCATACGACAATTTCCGAACCCCTACCAATCACTACCAATCGAAACAATCGATCACCGCTTAATATAGTCGACTAATGTCTCACGCCGCGTACCGCCCGAAAAACGGTCGATTTTTCGACTTTACCGGCCGTTTTCGATCCGATTCCTCCCTCTCAACGCTCCCGCTGTCGCTCCCCCGTAAAGCGCCGACTTTCTAGTTTCAGAAACGGTATCGCTTTCCTTCCGAACGTTTCGCGAACCGGGAAAAAAAAACAGAAAAACCGCGTCGACGTCATACGACAATTTCCGAACCCCTACCAATCACTACCAATCGAAACAATCGATCACCGCTTCATATAGTCGACTAATGTCTCACGCCGCGTACCGCCCGAAAAACGGTCGATTTTTCGACTTTACCGGCCGTTTTCGATCCGATTCCTCCCTCTCACCGCTCCGACTGTCGCTCCCCCGTAAAGCGCCGACTTTCTAGTTTCCGAAACGGTATCGCTTTCCTTCCGAACGTTTCACGAACCGGGAAAAAAACCGGAAAAACCGCGTCGATGTCACGAAAATTTCTGAACGCCTACCAATTATACCAATTCGAACAATCGATCACCGCTTAATATAGTCGACTAATGTCTCACTGTTTCAGGTACGGTTACGCGACATGGCCTCAACAGCATCCATTGAGCACCGCCAAGGATATGGTGAAACCGCCATACTCCTACATCGCTCTTATCGCCATGGCCATCCAAAACGCGCAGGATAAAAAGATTACGCTCAACGGCATCTACCAGTTCATCATGGAGAGGTTTCCTTACTATCGGGAAAACAAGCAGGTACGTTACTGCGGCAAGTGACCACCGTCACCAAAGACGACTCTGGACCCATAACCTATAACAATAATCTTTATTCAGGGATCATCGTTGATGACACAGAATACGTCGAAGCTGCGAACGTCAGTTTCGCCTACAACTTGGCCACCAGACCTGACAGATACTGACATTACAGTGACTTGAGAAGCAACGACGAGTAGTAAGAGAAGCTGGATCAAATGTTGCAAACAAAGTTGCAAGATGTGTGTCAACATTTACAATAAAGAGCGCAAAATACGTACAGGGTCACATAACAACCAGTATGCAAACTAATCGACTTTCATTTTACAAAAAATCAAAAGTAGTGTAAGTCACTGATCGTCGTTAACTTTTTCCTTACGGGCGCCACTTTTTTGTTCCAGGGCTGGCAAAATTCGATAAGGCACAACTTGAGCCTCAACGAGTGCTTTGTTAAGGTGCCGCGAGACGACAAGAAGCCCGGCAAAGGAAGTTACTGGACGCTAGATCCTGACTCTTACAACATGTTCGACAACGGTTCCTACTTGAGGCGTAGGAGGAGATTCAAGAAAAAAGACGCGTTACGGGAAAAAGAGGAGGCTTTGAAACGGCAACAGTTGCAGGTTAGAATCATGACTAGATATCAGCACCATCCGTGGTGAATCGTGAAAAACTTCGGAAACGGATTTTTCAAACCTTTCACTTTATATTTCCATACTTGACTGTCTCAAATGCTATTTCCTTGTGAACCTGAGTCCATCAATAAATTTGCTTTCGAGTAAAAATTAAATATTTTATGATTTTTTTAAAACCGTCCATCCTCTCTGCCGCACCCTGTATAACTACTCGTATCGGTCGTTCGATTGATTACCAGATTTCTTGATATTTCGCTCCAATAACCAGTTTACGGATTAGCACCCTTTCTTGTACCTACCTTACCTTTAGTTGTTTCGGTTTGGGTGCTACCCCGTCCATTTTCTAAGGGATCTTAACCCCTTCCGCGTTCGACGGTTCGAGACGGACGAGGAGTTGCCAAGCTTCCAAGCGGGCTGGCGGTCGATTTCCTTGGGGCGGGAGTGAAAAAGTGGATTCCACGTCTAAAAAATAGCTTTAAGATCAACGTTTCAATGATAACATCGCATACATGGTACCGCATATTTAATGCTTACGATTCTGATACTATCCTCTCTCTTCCAGTCCGGCGACTCCCCGAAGCGAGATGTCCTCGACAAACAACCCCAACAACAGCCGCCCCAACAGACACATGTGCAACACCTGGACGATTCTACGAAACCGCCGCCGGCGAAACAACCGAAACGAGAACCACTGTCCACGTCAGAACTGTCGCATTGCATGAAGTACTCCGGAGGAACCGACCTGAAGTACTCCGGAAGCACCGACCTAAAGTACTCCGCGAGTGCTCCCGACCTGAAGTATTCTGGCAGCGGCACCGGCTCAGGTAAGACAGACCAAGTAAAGCGAACGATTTTCAAGCAACACATGCCCCGATGTCAAGATATTTGATACATTAACGGTTGATCTTGTAAATGAGCCCGATTCCCTTTGTTTCTTCTGCTGTATTTCAAATGAACGATTGTTATGTCTGAACTAGAACGAAAGAAAACGAGATAGGAGACGGGATATAGGCAACCAAGTAAGTAGAAGGTTGTATAACTGGTTGCCTGGATACGATAGTGGTTTAGTTCAAGGTTATCGAACCGGACCACATCAAGTTATTAAAAAAGATATCGAATAAAGATTATCTTAAGAACTTTTTCGGCTTTTAGTATAAGACTTGGCACATATGTCGCTATAAGACTCATAAAATGAGGTTACGTTTTCCCTAGAGGAAGACTTTGAACACTGTGTTCGACACCTTAATTCCTAGCCGTACCTAATTTGAATTCATAAAATACAGCTTCCTGTGGCAGGTGACACTTTAATCGTTTATGAAAGGTATAAAGAACACTGGCCCCGAAACTGAGCCTTGAGGAACTCCGGTTTCAACGCGGCTCATGTTTAATAGTAGACAAACTCACTACTTTAGAATGTTCGATTAAGAAAAGTCCAAATGTTCGTTTTGTGAACCTATTGAACTAGGTGAACTAGAAAGCACGTCACTGACATAACATAACTAATGGGATTTCGTTTTCAGTTGCGATGCCAAATCTTAGGAATAATTACGAAGAAGGTTGAGGGATGATCTCTCCTTGAAAACTTTGTCATTTTTAAAAAAGGAATCGGCAACATCGCCGCCATTTCGCCTAGTTCCGATGATTGGACCTTCACACTTCCCCTATTTTGATTACTAAAGAAATCGGAAGAGAGGGAACCGAAGACACGCCCCTTGACTGATAAACAGTCCTTTCAACCGTACAAGCTATTCCATCCTTTTTCAGAGACGAAATCGGTGATTGTGCATCAACACCAAGATCACCACCTGATGAACGACGTAGCAGCTCAGCTTCAAGCGGTTGATTCTGTGGCAGCTGCAGCTGCTTTTTCGGTGGATAACCTGATGACTGCAGCCGCCGCCGCGGCTAGCAGGGAACAGCAGATTGGATATGGTGGTACGACTAGGTTGCATTCGTCAGGAGGTAAGTTCCACTAACTTTCAAGCATCTTATATTATATACAGGGCGTCTGGAAATTGAAGGATGTCCTGCAAACTGGAAATAGGTCGGATCATCAAATTTTGCTTAGCCAAATGTCTGATGATTTTCGAGGTATGCAACAGTAAGGGAAAATCTGATATCAGATTCGTAACCTACGCTCCCGAATTAGCCAAGAAACAAGTCTCCATCTTCATTTCAGATACCATCAAAGATTTTCGGAAATATGTTTTTTTTAGCATAGGTATATTCAATTTCAAAGCTTGTAACTCTAGCGTAATTTTTTCATGTGCGTGGGCAAAACATTTAAGATTCAAATAAGAAACCATCTTAAATACGACAGTATAATAATAGCTTTCAGGAAAGAATACGAACAGGTTTCCTGAACTCGCTTATTAGTCGCGAGTATATCTTTTCGAGATGCTAAAAATACCTCCAGTTCGCTTAAAAAATGTTTTTGACATTTCCTAATGGACGAAAGGGTAGAACGGTGTGAGAGACAGCCGTGATGTCTGCAATTAGTGACGACACAGACGTCTTTGAGGAAATGTCTAGGAATGCCGGATTTCAGGTAATGCAATACGATGCATTATGCTGGGCACAGGGTCATAGGCGCACGCAGGTGTGCCAGGGTTTTTTTAATAGAATTCTTGATAGTATGTCGAAAACGATGCATGTACGTGTTATTACTGTTCAGTACATCGAACTTTGAAATTTCTTTTCTGTCACCCGCTTAGCCAAACAACTCCTATTTGCCGCTTTAGTGTACCATATAGAACTTATCATCCACGCCTCTCTATTAAGACCTTCATCAACTTCAACGCACCCCTTAACTCTTGCCTTTCGTTCCAGGAATGTACTCGTACTGCCCGTCCACAGTCAGCGCCGCCCCCCAGCACCATCATCACCACCCCTCTCCGACGGCCGCGACCGCCTCGACGCACCCCCACCACCCGCAATACCACCATCCCGCTTCGCCGGCCACGCCCACCGCCCCTCTCCCCGAAGACTCCGCCCCTCCGCGATACGCGGCGGCCGCCTGGTACGGCGCGGACACGCCCTCGCCCGACGGAAGTTCCGCCTATCGCGATCTGCTGTTCGACGGCACGGCTCCGCCTTCCTGCCAATTGGCGACGCCCTTTCGCCACGCCTACTATCATCACCAAGCTGCCGCTGCGGCAGCCGCTGTCGACTGTCAGAAGTACTGATACGGGGCCGCCTACTGCGACGGGGTGAACGTCAAGACTGAGTGGTGAGAGGGAATGATGTCGGCGCGAGGACTGAGTGCGTGGAAGGGTTACGTCATCGAAGGTTGGCAAAGAAGAGGTTAAAGGAGTGTCTTTGAGCGAAATCGTTTACGAGTACCAGGATTGCGATAAAGTTAGTGCAAAGAGTGTGTGTACAGTGTCAGTGTATGGAGAACAAGCCATTGTAAGTACTAGGTTAAGGATAGGATGTACTTGATAGTGAATATGTCGTTCGAAATCTTTGCAGCAAGCTTTGGACTATCAAGACTATTTTGTGCTGTGACAAAGGTATATTTCAGAAATATAGGCCACTGAATAACACCACTGGACGACGGTTTTTTAATAGATTCTGAACAAGACCGTTTAAACCAACGTTTATCGATTGTTATACCGATTCCGGTATACTGATTTCGCTGTTTTGAGAATACGTTACTTTCGATAATATATTCTGATCAGTCGCACTCCTGCCCATGGGCGGACTTAGAGGGGCGGGGCGATTTCCCAGTGGTACTTGACTCATATTTAATTTCTAGGATAACTGAATATTTCTTACAGTATTTGCATTAGAAAAAAACGGTGAAAGCACTATCGGCCATGACGTGACAACATACAAATTGTAAACAAAGAAACGTCATCCGTATGTCACTCGTGGATCAACATTGTCTTATACTTCTATATTTGAAAGTCTTAAATAATTTTGGTATCTTTGAACGAGTGTGTTTTTGAGAGAAATCCTAGTAGTATATTCCGAATAAACTCTTTTAAAAGCAAAACATTCTTGAAATAATAGTCCAGGGGAAAGTCCCTCGATTTTTTAGAACCAAATTAATTTTTTCGAAATACTCTACTCCAACACTCAAACTCTTCATAAAATTCTCATGTTTAACAGGAATAATAGAGAATTCATACCTTTGGTACATACGTATACATTGTCTATATGTATTATAGATGATATAATACGTAATAGAGCAATAGTTGTGAAAAATAGTATCTATTTTGAAGACAAAAAATGACTTTCTTTTTAGGCAATGGTAGAAATGTTTGTCAATACTCGGATTGTAGATGATAAGGTTAATTTCTCTTGTGATAATAATTATATAGTTCGATGTATAAATAGGCAGAATATGCTCCTAGCTGCTCCGTATGTCCAGCTTTACATTATACAGGGTGTCTCAAATGAGAATCTGATTTTGCATAAAATTTTAAAAGTGTTATATGCATTTGCAAATATAGGCGGCAAGACAACAATAAGAAATGAAATTATACAGGGTTACCTGAAAGTTGAGACTTTCCTTTCCAGCGTCTGCAAAGCTAAAACAGAAGAATTTCGCTGCCAAAACAACGTCGAAAAAACAACAAAAGAAAAATAGCACTTTTCAAAACTTGACAGCAAATTAATCATGAGTTGGCGTTGGCGATGCACTTTTAAATATTATATAAAAAAAATGCAGTCATTTTTTCCTTATTGAACACCCTGTATTTGCCATAATGCTTATGTGAAACACCTTCTTAGATATCTGATTGGCTACACACTGGAAAAATGTTTTCATAAAGCGGTTCAAATGTAATATTGATAAATTATGTTTTTACAGATTGATATGATTACATCTTTCAAACGTTAAAATACGGCAACGCGTTTGAATATTTGATTTTGTACATAGCTCCAATCAGCGAGCAGCGCGATATACAGGGTGTCCGCAAAGTTGGGGTTTTCCTTTTCAGAAACAACTAACTAAAAAAAATAAAGGAAAAAGTACTCATTCTCCAGTTGACGAGAAGGGCTAAGTACGTCCCTGCCCGAAATCATACCGCTCCAACAGAAAATGAAATCAGCTGATGCGCTACCGCGCAGACGCAGAAACCACATGGATTGTCTTACACTTAATGGCACATCTTCTAACAAGGAAGGCAAAATGTTGCGTAAAAAGTCTAGGTATTGCATCCCGTCCAATCGATTTGGGAGAATAAATGGTCCAATGAGCATACCGTTCACCATGCCAGCCCAAACATTCACCGAAAATGTTTGTTGAAAATGTGCCCGACGGACAGCGTGCGGATTTTCTACTGACCAAACATGAGTGTTGCGAAAGTTATTCACCCCATTACGCGTGAACGTAGATTCGTCTGTCACCAATATGCACTTCAAAAAGTCCGGATTATTGTCATGTTGATGCACCAACCACTCACAAAACCGCACTCTTGCTGGAAAATCGTCAGGTTGAAGGGCTTGTACACGTTGGACGTGAAACGGATACAGCCCCTCTTCACGCAGCGTTTGCCACACTTTAGTTTTTGATACTTGCACTTCTCTAGCCACGTCTCTAGTGCTCGTTGAGGGATTCTCGTCTACGCGATTACCTCTACACGCGTGACCGTTACCGTCGGTTGAAGGTTGCATACTGACCTGACACACTGACCCCGACCCAGTTCTGCCGTCGGGTTGAGACCTTGTACCAGTCGGGGATATCGCGGCGGGTCGCGGCTACAGGACGGTATTCAGATATTTTTGATGTTGCAGAGCCCTTTATCTCGGTTCCCTTAAGACATTGGTGTATATGGTACTAAGAAAAATCGCTTACGTTTTCAAGATCTACACGTCGTGTAAAGGAAAACCCCAACTTTGCGGACACCCTGTATAATCGAAGAAAAATATTCTGGAAAGCATTTTTCATATCTCAGTATATCCTTTTGAAACCTACAGCTTCACATTTCTACAGAAAACGTGATGAATGCATTTAGAGTTGTTCTCACTTAGCGATAATGATGCAACCTGTGTGATGTAAATAGTTGTTTGTAAAATATATATGTACAGTAAGTGTTAATAATACATTATTTATTTGGCAATGAATTGAAAATAAACACGATATATGGATTTGAAAAGGATCTGTTTTATTTCCACATATACCTAATCAAGAGTAGTAATGCTGCTTAACGACGAACACCAAAGTTATACAGGGTGTAAACGTTATGATAGTCATTATTTAAATGGGTGATAGAGGGGGTTGGGAGAAGCAAAAAGTTTCATATAACATGGGGGTCATAACGGCATTTTTTAGAGAAAAGCAACTTCAAAGTAAAATACAATCTGGCAACGCCGCAATGTCGGACGCAAATCACGACAGAACGCAGTGTAAATAAAGATGGAGTTTGTTATTTTTGGCTCTTCGGTATTACTTCATTATTTGATAATGTACTCGTAAAAAGTAAACAATTAACGTATTAAAAAAATCCACTTATACAGAGTGACTTCGAAGTTGAGTCATTTATTTTAACAGTGAGTAGATCTGATCAAAAGAAATGTTTTTTCCTTTACCATTTTTCTGGTAAAATTAAAGTAACAAAGTTATAGCCATTTGGAAGTTTGAGTACCGCCCTGTCTCAATAATAATATTATGTGCTCGTGTTTGGCGACAACGGATATAATTCGCCTTATCGGTTCATCGCATCGGAAACAAAAAAGCGAAAGAATTTGGAACGATGTTTTTACAATTATTTCATTCCAAGACCTCACGATCAAATACAGGTCCGCACTGAAATACTTGTCGGGAGGATACTTTATAAAACAAGGTAACATTTTTTTTTTTATTTTTTTTTTATTTTTACACACATATTTTGGTTTATCTTCCTTCTACAATCATTATCTGAAAATTAATGACTCAACTTCAAAGTCACCCTGTAGATAGGGAACACAATTTTGATACATACATTGTTTTTCTTTTTAAAACCCACACTGCAATTTTTTTGTATTTAAAGAAGGTGTTCAAAATGTCGTCCTCCACTTCCCACACATGGTATCCTTCTCTTGACAACTTTGGGGGTAACTCGAAAGGGCCAATTACACCCTGTATATCAAGTAACACACGAAAAAAGAAGAAAGACTCTATACTATCTACGCCTTCGCTGGAGGTGTCAAACGCTGCTTTATTTGCATCTTATATTTATCGTTAAAGGACTATTACACCAGGCAAACTACGTATATCGATAAAAATAGAGCCCAACAATGAGGTTCGCAAGTTGAAATTTGGAAATAAATGAAGTCTGAAGCGTTCTGACTCCAAACAAAATCCACCGTCAAGATATCGGTAGCTCACTTCTCTGTCGATTCATGGAAACAGTTACTCTAAATTTAGATTTATTTTCATAACAAATAAAATTTACGGAGATAAATCTATTAGTGAAAATCGTTACTTTCAAGTTTGGGAGCCTTTGAGACGGCCAAACGTAAACCGACGTCGGTGTAAATAATCTAAGGACAAATAACGCCAACTTTGAATGCCGTCTCGAACGTTGAGGATGCTTTTCCAGCTGCCGGTTCCGATTTTAGGAGTACAAAATTATATTGCGCCACCGGACAGAGTTCTTTCATGCTATTCGGTTCTGAACGAAAAAGCTCCGTCGTAATTATTTTCTAAAGAACGTAGGAAATTTCGATTCAAAATTAATCATGTCCTGCCGACAGTACCGCCCATCAGACCTGGTGTCCCTCAGGGTTCGGTTCTGTTCTCGATTTACCCTCACAACAAATTAAATTCTTTCTTTCCTTCAGCAACAAAACAAATAACTAAACAGGTGTTGATGAACAGAATGCGGAAAAAAATTCGGGTTGTGATTTGGTTGTTGCCGCGTCTAATCCTCCGAATTGATGTTTTTATGTTGGTAGTTTCCGTTTTGAATTATAAACGAATTGTGGATTCGGCAAACCCTAACGAGCAACACTTATTGAAACAAAAAGTGATATTTTCGTGCGTTTTTGTTTTCTATTTGAACAAATTAAGATAAATAAAGAGTTTTCTAGTTTTCTTGAAAACGAATCAACCGATTTAAAAAAAAAACAAATGTCAAAATAAAGCACTTCAAAAGACCTTTCGAACATTATTACTCGATCCCCTTGATACTTAAAATTGTCAAGGGGATGTCCCTGGGGGGGGGGGGGGGGTGGGGCAGAGGGTGAAAGATGGTGGAGTAGTTCTTGGTTAAAGAGTTGTCCTCTTGACAAATCTTTTGACGTGTCTTGGCGTTTTTTCTTTTAATTAGTGGTTTATTTAGGTTTTTTACCATTATTCTTATGCAGTAAATGGTTAAGTGTAAGAATAGCTGCCATAGCTAAACTTCGCCATTAAGCTGCTTACTAATCTAATTATAGATAATAATATATGCATTATCTGTAATTTGTTTTTTTCTAATAAAATACGGTTTATTATTATTATTATTATTTTGGCGTCATTATGTTCACCAAAACTGAAGTATTTATCTAGGTTCGAGAACACTGTCCCATTTACCTATAAGAGAACCTCATTAGCGTGTTAAAGGAAAACTGTTCAAATAAACCCTGGCAGCTTTACGAGAAGCGTAAACTCTTCAATTGCACTATTAATTTTTTTCAGAGCTCTCAAGTAAACACCATTCGTTTCTATACTTAGGACGACCATAGCTTTTCAGAAATATGGAAGTGACTTTTGTTGTGGCAGAAGGTGCCAAATAAGTGCTGATTTAGAGTAAGATTTTAGGGCTGCTAGACATTGCTTTACTTTTCTTTACGTACTGATGTGATACGATAAAAACTAGTCACACCTTATAAAATAATCTACATATTCGCGCTGCAGAATTTAGAAAAATGAGTCAAGAAGATTGACCCGTTTCAAAAGACGGAATCTAATCCTAAGGTTTTATGAATCTTCGTATCAAACAAATCTATCATATTTCTGTTTCCACTGCACATATGGAGAATAGTTGAGCGCGAACACCTATACACAACCAAAGCGTTTGCGAATATGAATCATCCATGTCCGCGGATTTTAGAAAAATGGAAAAGAAAGAAATTTTTGAAGCACATGCTATTTTGGAGCCTATTAAAATTCAAATATTCCCGAACAAAACATACTTTCAATGACATTGATTAATTCGGTCTCGATTTCCTTGGACATTCATTATTCAACGATTATTAAAATCGCGTTACTATGTATACTCCATTTAACTTTTGTGAGTCTTAGATATTTTAGAACTGATAAGTGAACCCATTGCCGTAGCAAGTATATTCTATAACGATTGGGAAATATGTAATTTTGAGTATAGAATAATAGGCTGAGAAACCTCAAAAATTTTGAGAAGCATTATGAGAAAGTACCACCGCGCTCGCGTTGTGTGTAATTAAGCCACATCACAGAAAAATTGGGAATGACGCATCACATACAAAACGTTTTCGCACTGCCTCACATCTAGGCGCTGATTTGTACTTTGTACTAGACATCGCAAAATAAATTTAAATAATAATAAAACTGCTTATATTACATAACATCATCATCATTTACAGAGCAATCAGTAATAAAAACAATTCACGTGTCTACAACCAGCTTTGGAAAACTACAGAAACTTCGAAAGTATGAAAAAGAAGTAAAATTTTCTATTAACTTTAAAAAAAAAAATTAAAAGACATTTTATAGTTATTATTTACGCGTAATAAATTTAATCAACTTAAATTTGAAAATTTAATAATAATTATTTACGCGTAATAAATTTAGTTAATTCATATTTAAAAACATACTCATATATCACATATCAAATATTATTTACGCTTACTAAATTTAATTAACTTACATTTAAAGACATTTTTATATTTATTATTCATGCATACTAAATTTAATTAACATAAATTTATAGACATTTTTATATTAAATATCATTTACACGTAATTATCTTACATTAAAATACATTTTTATATCTATTATTAAAGCATACTAAATTTAATTAAAACAAATTTAAAAACATTTTTAAATTAATATCTACACGTACTAAATTTATCAACTTACATTACTAAATTTAATTAACTTACATTTAAGGACATTTTTACATTTACTATTTACGCGTACTAATTTTATTTAACTCAAATTTAAATTTTTATATTAAATATTATTTACACGTACTGAATTCAATTCACTTACATTTAAAGACATTTTTATATTTATTATTCACGCATACTAAATTTAATTAAGACACATTTAAAAGCATTTTTAAATTAATATCTACACGTACTATACTTAATCAACTTACATTTAAAGACATTTTTGTATTTATTATTTACGCATACTAAATTTAATTAACTTACGTTTAAAGATATTTTTATATTAAATATTATTTACACGTACTAAATTTAATTATCTTACATTTAAATACATTACACAAACTTAAAAGCATTTTTAAATTAATATCTACACGTACTAAACTTAATAAACTTACATTTAAAGACATTTTTGTATTTATTATTGACGCATACTAAATTTAATTAGCTTACATTTAAATATATTTTTATATTAAATATTATTTACACGTACTAAATTTAATTATCTTACATTTAAAGACATTTTTATATCTATTATTAACGCATACTAAATTTAATTAACACAAGCTTAAAAGCATTTTTAAATTAATATCTACACGTACTAAACTTAATCAACTTACATTTAAAGACATTTTTGTATTTATTATTGACGCATACTAAATTTAATTAGCTTACATTTAAAGATATTTTTATATTAAATATTATTTACACGTACTAAATTTAATTATTACATTTAAAGACATTTTTATATCTATTATTAACGCATACTAAATTTAATTAACACAAACTTAAAAGCATTTTTAAATTAATATCTACACGTACTACACTTAATCAACTTACATTTAAAGACATTTTTGTATTTATTATTGACGCATACTAAATTTAATTAGCTTACATTTAGATATTTTTATATTAAATATTATTTACACGTACTAAATTTAATTATCTTACATTTAAAGACATTTTTATATCTATTATTAACGCATACTAAATTTAATTAACACAAACTTAAAAGCATTTTTAAATTAATATCCACACGTATTAAACTTAATCAACTTACATTTAAAGACATTTTTGTATTTATTATTTACGCATACTAAATTTAATTAACTTACATTTAAAGATAGTTTTATATTAAATATTATTTACACGTACTAAATTTAATTATCTTACATTTAAATACATTTTTATATCTATTATTAACGCATACTAAATTTAATTAACACAAACTTAAAAGCATTTTTAAATTAATATCTACAAGTATTAAACTTAATCAACTTACATTTAAAGACATTTTTGTATCTATTATTTACGCATACTAAATTTAATCAACTTACATTTAAAGATGTTTTTATATTAAATATTATTTACACGTACTAAATTTAATTATCTTACATTTAAAGACATTTTTATATTTATTATTTACGCATACTGAATTTAATTAACCGAAATTTATTATATTAAATAGTATCTACACGTACCAAATTTAATTAATTCACATTTAAAGACATTTTTATATTTATCACTCACGCGTATTAAATTTGATTGACTCAAACTTAAAAATTTTATATTAAATATTTAATATGGGAATTCCACAGGGATCAGCTTGGTGGCCAGTACTGTGGAAAGTATATAGTTAAGAAGCTGCTCTTTAAAACCAGCTTAACGGCGATACTTTTAGTTATGTGAATGATCGTAATAATTCACACCAAGGTCAAACAAATGCGCCAAATTGATCGAAGATAAAGTAGATGTATCTTTTGTCAATCTTGCTCTCTTCTGTCGTTATGTCGACGGGCTTTGCTCCTCACAGCGCTCTGCCAGTCTGTCGTTCATCCAGTACTGGTCGGTATCAAAATTACCATGGTGCATTACCGATACATATATGCAAAGTTGTGGTGCACTGTGTATAGAAACACGTGTAGCGAACAATTAATGATTCTACATAATTCGCGACCATAAATTCATGATTAAGTTCGCCGAGCTTATCGCAACTTATCAGTATCGACGTTCGCGTAGAGCGATTATCTGCCGGTTGTTGTGACTATGACGGGAAACGACGAATCCAGGACGATACCCGGTTACTTTAAGGGTAAGAACGTGCTTATCACGGGCGGTACGGGGTTCGTAGGATTGGTACTGATAGAAAAGCTGCTCAGATCCTGTCCAGAAATAAGAAATATCTACTTGTTAATGAGGCACAGAAGGAACAAGTCTCCGGAGGATAGATTGAAAGAACTCGTTCAGCAACAGGTAGGTTTTTGGACATTGTACTTTAGAAAAAAAATCGTGAATGCGAGATATCAAAAATCAACGTTAGTGGATTTCTAAACCGAGAAAAAAAATTAATTACACAATTAAAATTTCGATTGAGGTTGAATTAAGCTCCGATTTAATTAAATTTAATAAACCGGTTACTCGGATTGTGTATAGTAATTACTTAAAATTAATGAACTATCAACACGAGTTCATCTGCTCTAAGAGAGGCAATTTAATTATATTTTTTAAATTTGATAAGATTAGGTAAAAACATTTGCTTAGTTTTAATGCATTATCGCAATTAGATACTTGTAATAATAATCTATTTGGCAAATACAGTTATAAAAATACAAATTTCTAAGATCGTTGCCACAAAACTTTGAACTAACACTGTGGCACTTCAACCAAATTCAATAATAAATAACATCGATTTAAAAACGAAACATATGTATTTTGATGCAAAATGTACATAAAAAATGAATACTGAATATACTGCAATAAACACTTACATATATACGCATACCATTAACACGTTAAAAACGTACGTCAATGGTAAAAGATTGCTACCTTGTTTTGTAGATACGTGTTATTGCGGCTATCTTTAAAATATTGGGAAGTATACTTTATCTGAAGTCACTTGAAATAGCATAAAAACCTTTGGTCGACGCGTCCTTTGTAATTTCATGACGTATCATAGGCGTGCGGTCATTTATTTAGAACGATAATAATAATGTTTTTATATCACAATAAATGGATTTTACTATCTTCTTATTTTTTTGATTTGGGATAAAAAATACTTATATTGGGAGTTTAATTTATGTTGACTGAAAGTTAAGAAATGGAAAAATTACAGAATTCCAACGTTTGACATAGGCAAATATTTACATAGCAGGTAGGTATATAAAAAGATATATAAAGACTTACATTATAGGTATTTATATATCATCCTCGCCTTCGGAGCTGTCGCTAGAGTCATCTTGTAGAGGAATTACAACGGGATTTACAGGAGGCAAAACACAATATTCTTTTTCTTTTTCAATAATATGCCTAGAACACTGCTTCCATAGGTCTGTGGCAGCAATATGAGATACTGCATCTCTTATTGTGGCCAATAGCGATTCACTTAATTGAGGGGTCTGATTATGTTTTCTTTCTTTTTTTTTTAAAGCAGCCCAGACCAGCTCAATTGGGTTAAAAATGCAGTAATAGGGAGGTAGACGTAGTACTTCATGGCCATTTTGCTGAAGCAGATTGTCAACAACATACTCTTTTTCAACTTTTTGTCTTTTAATAAGATCCAATAATATGGCTTTGGTTGATTTTTGTGGTATTTCCATTCCCTTATCCTTCATAAAATCAATAATGTCTTGTGTTTTTTTGTGCCTGTATTCGGAATTTTGTTTTTCTGTCGGGAATGGTATGGCGCATTGTCCATAATAATCACTGAATTTGGGGAAATGTTTGGTATTAACTGCTGCTCTATCCACTTTTCAAATAAGTCGGAGGTCATGTCCTCATGATAGTCGGCACATGATTCTTTGATATTTTTGGCAGATAACAGCAAGGCATTAGGTATAAATCCATTTTCACTGCCAGCATGGAGAATAATGATTCGTTTTCCACGGTTGCATGGTGCATTTAAAATGCACTTGTTGCTGTTCGCAACCCAGCCGTACTGCACAACATCATACCACGTTTCATCCAGGTAAATCAGATTTCTTTTCTGCTCTCTATAGATTTTAACTTTGTGCAAAAATTCTTGGCGCAATTCAACGATTCGAGACGACTCCATAATCACCATTCTTTTATCTAATTTTTTGTATTGAAAACCGCACAGTTTTACAATATAGTGCAGTGAGTCTAAGCATTTGTAATTATAAAAATCTTCAGGATAATCTTTTAATTTATCCCGTATCATTTCCAACGTGGGCACCAAATTTTCTTTATAAAATCCGTATATTATACGACGAATATCTTCCTGAAAACCCACGTCTATTCTTTTTAATTTTTGACCTATGCGCTTTCTGTGGAAGGAATGGTTGACTACATCTCCCCTTTTTATAACCCGATAAATGGTAGACCGACTGATTTTTGTCAGGATACAAATTCTGTTTAAAATTTGATTTTGCGTGGAATCTGGATTTTCGTTTTTCAGACAATCATACATATTTAGGATTACTCTTTGGGTCTGTTCCTCTAAATCTTTATGAAAGAATTCTGCCTGCACAGGTTCATCAACCATCTCCTCGTGGCTTGGAGCATTTTCCTAAGGTCTCCAAAGAGCCATATTTAGGACACACAAGAACAATCAACACAACAATTAAATCAACAAGTAAACTGAGTATTCAAAAGTCAAAAACACACAAACTAATAAAATCTATGAAAAAACACGGACAGACTAAAGAAAACACGTTTATTCACCGCTACACGGCACTGGCTAAATTGTTTCAATTTTCAGTAGCCACCTGCACTTGTTCGGAGCTCTGAAATCTGATTGGCTATGTCCACGCATAGGCGTGCTTTACTCCACGTGGACCGGTGAAACTGCCTTTGATCTTATACCGAAATTTGGCGATTTTTGCAGCAACAGAGCGTGTTAAATATAGATATATAAAACGCACCCGGTATTTCACAGTGTTTCAAGTAACTTCAGATAAAGTATACTCCTGTACGGAAACATTCATTTGTTATGTATTTTAAAGGCTTACATATACAATACAGTATTTTTTTCAGTTTCAGCTTTTATATTATCGCTCCCAGAAGCCTTGCCGTTTTTCAGGCTTAATGTAGCGCCCATCGCTTCATCTTCATCCGTATCGTCTAAATACAATGAGTTGACAAGCTTATTTACTTGTTTGATAGCAGTGTGTGGTATCTTCTCTTTCAGTTTTTTACCAATGCTTGTGAAGCGATCCAAAAAGTCCCAACAATCATTTTTATGGGATGTTTTTTTTGCACTTTCGTTTTTTATATCTTTTTATTCTGCTTTTTTATTCCTTTTACCGGAAATCTCTTTTACACACACATCTCACTATTGGAATCGGTTTCCTTAGTTTTGCTGTCGTAGTATTCCTTTTTTCTTATTTTTAATAGGTTATTTAATAAGTTTCTGTAATACTTAAACTTCCGTTGGTTTTTTTTATCATTCCACGATTGTAGTTTGTTTTTCTTATTAAAGTTCACCAAGGCGCTAGTTATCCATGTTTTCCTAGTTCTTTGACTATTTTTGAGTTTTATTCTATACAGGGTGGTTCCTTAATGATATGCGAATATTTAAGGGTATAAATCTACATGAAAAATTAATGTTGGTTTGCTTTATAAACTATAGTCCTAAAATGTTTCCTTACAAAAACTCGGGGTGTTGAAGTTTTAGGGAAATTAATTAATATTTTCAGAACCGCTGCAAATATTTCGCTGATATTTGGTACATAGCTGTGCTGTGTTATATTCAAATAAACATTTAAACTGTTTTTATTAAAATGTTCAATTGTTTAATGCGTACCTTTTCTTCATAAACTAAATTACCTAAGCTGATTGAACACATTAATAAAACAGGAACATGGTTTACTATTTTCAAGCAAACTAGCTTATTTAGTTCAATTAACGAATAACCTAGTTACTTAGAATAATTAAAAAAATCATTACGGGTACTCCCTTTCATCTCTATCGACGTGTATATTCAAAAATATGTTCATTAGAATAAACATGAAGAGAATTTGAGTCCGTGCTTTTGCTTTAGTTGTTCGACAGTGTGCGAAAGATTAATCCTGAGGTATTCAACAAATTGAAGCCTGTTTCTGGAGACATTGCTGAAGTTGGATTAGGTGAGTACCCGTTTATCCAATCAACGAGTTTTCATCTTAATTGTAAATACCCAAGAGTATTTAAAATTTTTCTTCAACAGCCTCTTAAGGCGGCTCCGACGCAGCGAGTTTCAAGCCATTTACAAGGTTCAGCTGCTTCGACTTTTCAATATCTTTGAATGAAATTCATACAGAAGGGTGCTATAGGAGCACTTTTTGAAATTTTGCTTTTGCACAAGTTTTATGATGGGTTGAGGTGCGCACTTTTTCTGTTCAACTTCGCGATTTTTTTAAAAAGAATCTAGTGAAAAAAATGAAAAAGTGGCACAATAGCACCGTCTGGGGTTTCGTTTTCAGCATACTGTGAAAATTTCATTCGAAAATATCAAAAAATAAAGCGTCAATTTCGAAGCGCGCAAACCTCTACAAATCGTATTTTGGGCGAAATTCGTCTACTGTTTCGTCCTGCCAGTCCAAGCGACGCGACGGTGCGTTCCTACTAAGATAAAGTGTATTCAAATAATTTGATATCTTTCCTAAAATAAATTCAAATTCGTTTATTCATGTCAATAAACACAATTATGTTTACAAGGGTCATACGGTACATGGTAACAATTGAACTAGGGTCATAAAAATATCTTATGCCGTCAAAACAGTTAGGTGTTTTGTATCATAGTATGATTGGTTTATTGTTTGCGATATTGGGGTTAATTATTGTTTTTTATAATCCAATAAATTGAATTTTCTTTTCATTTATAAGCCCGGATGATGAAAGCACATACCAGATGGTTTGGACCAAGTTATCTTTCTGTCATCGGCATGTCCCTGATGTTATTGTTGTTTTATTATTAATTAGTCAATATTTTTTTCAAGTTAAACACCGTCACGGTTTCCGAAATAACGCAAAACTTCTGCTACAATCTCAACAGTGTCGATAACCTATTTGACGTGATTTTCTTCCTGTTCCTAGGCTTAAGCGAAAAAGACGAAACCGTATTGATCAGTGACACAAACATTATCTACCATGTAGCAGCGTCGGTGCGTTTCAATGACCACTTTCAAGACGCCGTTAAAATGAACTTGCGCAGTACTGTAGAGGTGTTGAATTTGGCGTTGAAATGCGAAAACTTGGAGGTTTACGTGCACACCTCCACCGCCTATTGTAATTCGGACGTCGATGGCAGAATAGAGGAAAAGGTGAGTCAATTAGAATGTTCTCGATTTGTACTCGCGGAGCATACGTAAGGAACTCGGACGAGACAAAACATTACCCTAATGAATAAACTTAGGATACCGGTTATGTCTTTATATCTTACTCTGTATATACTAAGTGACATATAAATCCGAACACCCAGTTTAAATGGTTTTATTTTAATAAAAGTTTGGTTCTTGACATCCTTTACGATCGGTTACGATGCCTAGAGTACGGAGACCTGTACGATTTCGTCAACTTAGTGAGTTTGATAGGGGCCGTATAGTGGGACTTCGGGAAGCTGGACTTTCTTTTCGGGCAATTGCAGTTAGAGTGCAAAAAAGTGTAGACACTGTGGTTAGGTGTTGTCAGGCATGGCTTCGAGAAGGCCGTACGCAAAGAGCAAGAGGCACTGGACGCCGCCGTAGAACAACAGACCGTGAAGATCGCCGCCTAAGATTATTGGCCTTAGGGGACCGTTTCTCCACTACCAGGTCCATTGCAAATGAATGGTTTGCAGAACACGGAAGACCTATTGGCATGCGAAGTGTTTACCGACGAATGAGAAGTTTTGGCTTGTTTTCATACCGGCCACACTGGGTCCTCCCTTTAACTCGAGAACACCGACGTAATCGCCTTGAGGGTGCAGACAATGGTCACTCGGGGATCAGGAATGGAACAGTATTGTCTTTAGTGACGAGTCTCGATTTTGTTTAGGCATGCACGATGGTCGTGCCAGGGTTAGAAGGCGACGTGGTGAAAGGAGGAATCCACAGTTTTTTGTTGAAAGACATGTTCATCACACTGTTGGAGTTATGGTTTGGGGTGCTATAGCTTATGGTTCCAGGTCACCTTTAATCTTCATCAGAGGTAACATGAACGCGCAGCGTTATATCCACGAAGTTCTAGAACCCCATCTTTTACCCTATCTTGACACCCTGGCAGATCCAACTTTCCAACAAGATAATGCCCGACCACATGTTGCAAGAGTCACAATAGACTTCTTTCAACATAATCATGTCACATTGTTACCATGGCCACCAAGATCTCCCGACATATCCCCAATTGAGCACGTGTGGGATATGATGGGTAGGAGATTGCTCAATTTGCAACGTCCTCCTCAGACTCTAGAAGCACTTCGAGAGGAGTAGGTGGTTGCCTGGAATGAGATACCACAGGAGGACATTGACCACCTGATCAGAAGCATGCCACATCAGGGTGCATCCACACATTATTAAAGGTCAAAGGGCTTTAAAGCAGTGCAATCATTTTGAAATTTTTATCAATTACTTATTATGCTTCATTAAGTACTTATACAAAATTTTATTAAAATAAAACCATTTAATCTGGGTGTTCGGATTTATATGTCACTTAGTACATTTATGAGCTAGTATTCAAACATTCTTTTTAAGTAATCCGATTACGTTTTGTAGCTTAGTAAGTTGACCAACTTGCAGTCTTGGGTTCCTTGGTTTCGATGTGAAACGGCATCTTTGCTTTGCGAGTACTTTTCCTATAACATTTTGTTTATCAGGTGTATCGACCTTCTTTGGATTGGAGAGATGCATTAGAAATGGTAGACAACGGAGACAAAGACGTTATAGAGACTTTAACTATGAAAATGATCCATCCATTAAAAAATACGTATACATATACGAAAAGACTGGCGGAGCAGGCTGTGGTAGATATTTGTAAGGACAGAATCAATGCAGTTATATTGAGACCATCTATAGGTATGTTCCATTTGTAGTAATTGTGGAAAAGTTAGTTTTCAATTACCATCATATGTTATATTTTATATTAAATTTACCAGAATCTGTGGTTCATGACATTGTGACACAGCATTTGAACATGCGCAAGGTATGCGCGAAGATGGTCCAAAAGTTCTCACTGACGACCAGAAATTGCGGCGAGTGGAAGTGTGCCAAGAAAATTTGAACATGTGTGAAAGTGACCCCCAATTTTTGAATAACGTAATCACAGGTGACGAGTCGTGGATCTTTGAGTATGATCCCGAGACAAAGAGGCAATCTTCCGAGTGGCACACGACGGCGTCTCCTCGCCCAAAAAAGGGAAGAATGAGCAAATCCAAAGTGAAAACGATGCTCATTGTCTGTTTTGACATCAAAGGCATCGTCCATCGCGAATTTGTCAACGCCAAGTTTTACGTGGAAGTGCTCAGGAGACTCAAACGAAGGGTCAGTCGGGTCCGACAAGACAACGCCCCGGCTCACACCGCCTTTCTTGTGAACAGCTACCTGACCAAGGCCGGCATCCCAACGCTTCCGCAGCCGCCCTACAGCCCAGATGCGCCTCCCCCGGACTTTTTTTTGTTTCCTCGCCTGTAAAAGCCGATAAACGGCTAGCATTTTGAGACAACAGAGGGGATCCAAGCAGCATGCACCGAGGCTCTCAAGGCTATTCCGGGGAATGCCTTCCGCGACGCCTTCAATGTTTGGAAATCGCGCTGGCAGCGCTGCATCGACGCAGAAGGAGCCTATTTTGAAAGTCTTTAAAGAAGACTTAGTCCTATTACTTTCCAGACAAACCCTGTATGTATATGCATATGTGTATGTTGTCAGCCAGCTATCAAGTTCGCTTGGTTTCGAGGCATCTTTAGATGCTCGTCAAATTTTCGTTTGTTTAGGTGATTCTATTCCATCGCTGTTTTTTAAAGTATCGTAGATCAGTAGGTCTGTTAGGTCTGGTTGGCCAGATACCAGACGAAGTCAGGGAGAAAGAAACGAAAAAGACAGAAAGGAAGGAAGAGGGTATAGCAAAGAGGGTGAAATGCGCCGGTTAAAGGGATGCCTTGCTGTTGTTAACTGGTATTCGGTTATTTCATATTGATCCAAAAATTGATTTTGATCACAGTGCGAGCCGCGAACTTGCTCGACTGTGTAGTCTACTGCAACAGAGGGTTGCTGTGCGATTCCGCTTGACTATAACGTAACTGCGCCTGATGTTTGATGTAGTCCCTTAGGTGAGGGATGTCGAGGTCTCCGTGAAGGGTCTCTTTGGAGACATACCATGGTGCGTTAGTGATGGTTCGCAAGGTTCTGTTCCGCAAAACCTGCAGATTACGCATATGCGTTTCGGAAAGAAAACACCATGCTGCACATGCGTAAGCGATTGCTCGTCTGATCACGATCTTGTATAGCCGAACTTTGTAAACCAAACTTAATTTTATAGTAAAGGGTAAACGTAATTTGGAATTTAGTTTTTAACGCTTCAGTGTGAGTCTGCCAGGTCATTCCCCTGTCAAGAGTGACACCGAGATACTCAGCAGAATTTCCCCATGCTTTGCGAGCTCCATTCGCTGAGGCGGGGCGCTTTAATTTTGATTAGTCACCGATCTGCCCATTCCAATACCTCACCCACCGCACTTTGTAACCTGTCGTGAACCAGATGCCCGGTACGCGTCTGGGCCACCAGTGCAGTGTCATCAGCATATAGATAGACCTCACAGTCGCTAGGGCAAGCGACATCACGGGTGGAAAGTGAGTAAAGGATTGCTCCTAGAACCGAACCCTTGGGGACGTCGGCTCTGATGGGCCGTACTGTCGACAAGAAATTATTAATTTCCTACCTTCAAGGAAGGATTTCAAAAGTTTTAGGAGCCGAAATGGAAAGCCCTTTTCAATTAGTTTATAGAGAAGGTCCACACCTTATCAAATGCCTTCGAAATATCCAGAAGCAAGATGCCAGTACTTTCGTTCAGGGTGAAGCCCCTGGTTACTCGCTCCACAAGCCTAACCGCCTGTAACTCCGTACTACGCTCAGACCGAAATCCAAATTGCACGTCACGAATCACGTGGCGATCTGACGAGAAATTCGCAAGGTGACTTAGAATCACCTTTTCAGCGAGCTTAGACGGAGCAGTCAGTAGGCTGATGGGACGATAGTCCCGGAGAAATATCGAACCCACCTTCTTTGGAATCATTGTAACTTCTGCAGCCTTTCATGCCGATGGAAAGTACTGGATCCTTAGCATGGCATTAATAATAGCGACGAGATAAGTCAAGAACTTCCGTGGTCTTTAATATCACCTTGAAGCTCTGCTGGTGTGCAATGCCGCTGATGTGCTGTGCAACTCTTCAGCTGAAGAATCTTCCGAGAAAGAATCTTCTGAGGGAGAATCACTAATGGCGGCGCCGGGATCACTGACGCCGTTGGCCCTAAAATATCTCCTGACGGATCCTGCTCCTCGATGAGATCATTATCAAGATCATAGTTAGGAGAGAACTGTCGTTCCATGGCATCAGCGAATACCTCGTCATCTGTCCTGCAGACTGTGCCCCCAGGACCGTGGATGTGCGGGAGTTGTTCTCGCTGTCCGTTTCTGAGCGACTTCGCCACTTTCCAGAGAGGAGTACTTCAGTCAAGCATCGCCGCCAGAAAGTCGTTCCATTGCTCATTGCGGAATTCATGGAGAGCATTTCTTACTTCGCGAACAAGATTCGTCGCTCTGCGAATGTCATCAGGATGACGAGACCTTTTCGCTTGCTTATTTGCAGTCCTTTCGTCAGACATTTTCTGACGAATGTCTGCAGGGAGAAAAGGTCGGCCGGGTTGTTTGGTTAGATGTTTCAATTTATTATTTGAGTACAGTAATACCCCGGACTTACGCGATAGGTGGGTCCGAACGGTTGCCGTGTAAGTCGAATTCGCGTAAGTCGGGGTTCAATGTTGCATATAAATACATATAAAGTTTGTTTAATCGGGACCAGAGTTTAAAGAAAACAATAATTTAGAAGAAAAATGTTTAATAAAGTGTAGGATAATAAAAAAAATTACATTGTTATGAATAAAGTAAGCTAAACCGAAGTTATTTTGATGTCGAAGGCTTTATATATTCTAACAATGTTGCCTGACGAGTTAAATTTTTCTTCTTTTCACGTAAAATTTCCTCGTAGCATACCAGTAATTTTTTTATCCCTCGTTTTGTAGTAGACACGCGTTCTTCATTAGAATCAATTTTTTCTAAAATTTGTAACCCCTTTTCAATTGAATTGAGTCCTTCTGTTAAGTTTGCAATTGTCATTTGATTTACCGATTCAACTGGGTCTAGCGAATCAGTTTGTTCAATGTCTTGCTCATACTTACGCATTTCTATAACCTCGTCAATTGTTAGCTCTTGATTGTGTGAATCTAGCAATTCTTGAACGTCATCATTATCGACCTCTAAATTTAATTGCTTGGCGATATCGACCACTTCTTCTATTATGCTATCGATTTGTTCAGGATCTGAAAAGGTTTCTCCTTGAGTTTCAGAGGTGAAAAAAAATGGACACAGTTTTTTCCAGACACCATTGAGAGTTTTTTGTGAAACCTCATTCCAAGATTGTCCAATAATTCTTACAGCATCTAAAACATTGAATTGCTTCCAAAAGTCTTTAACAGAAAGCTCATTGTTTTGTCTCATAGCTTCATGTAGATGTGCAAATGACCGCCTTGTGTAGTAAGCTTTAAATGTTTTAATGACTCCCTGGTCCATTGGTTGAAGCAAGCTGGTAGTGTTTGGTGGCAAAAATACAACTTCCACACGTGGATCGAAATTAATTAGAGTTGCGGGAGGATGACCTGGTGCATTGTCAATTAGTAGCATCACTTTAAATGGGATTTCTTTTAATCGGCAGTAACGTTCGACTTCAGGAATAAAATGATGGCCAAACCAGTCTTCAAAAAGAGAAGCTGTCACCCAAGCTTTCGCATTAGACTTCCAAATGACAGGCAAACCAGCTTTGGATTTATTTTTTAAGGCCCTTGGATTTTCTGAGCGATAAACTAAGAGAGGTTTTAATTTACAATCTCCAGCTGCATTCGCACCAACCATCACTGTTAATCGATCCTTGGCGGCTTTAAAACCTGGAAAAGTTTTCTCTTCACGCGCAATAAAAGTTCTTTTAGGCATTTTCTTCCAAAAAAGACCTGTTTCATCTACGTTGAAAATAGTTTGGCTAGTGTAGCCACCTTCATCTATCATTGTTTTGAGTTTTTCTGGATAGAGAGATGCAGCTTCTTTATCAGCGCTTGCCGCTTCTCCACTCTCTGCGATGCTATGCCAATTACAACGACTCTTAAATCGGCTGAACCAGCCGTTACTAGCTTTAAACACTTCATTTTCAGCCGCCTCCCCAGCTTCTTCTTTTAGTTTTTCAAAAATCTGCTTTGCTTGAAAGCACACTGTATTTTGATCAACAGGACAATTTTTCACTCTTACTTGATTATCACACCATGACTGTAGCAATGTTTCCATCTGTGCGATAATACCGTGACGCTTACGGATGATACTTGAATTCAAAGATTGAGAGTCTTTCACAGCGTTCATAATTTTTTCTTTACCTTTTACAACCGTTCGGACTGTTGATTCCGGAAGGTCAAATTTCTTCGCCAATTCACAAATTTTCATTTTTGCTTCAAAGTCTTTAATTATATTCAGTTTACACTCCAAAGACAGTGTTTTTCTTTTCTTGTTAGGCTCAAATGACTCATTTTTTGTTCTTTTAGACGACATAATTAGAGATTATAAGTAAAACGCACTGCGCACGTAAAACAATTGCACGCGAAACACGTTTAAACCTGATGCAAATTGAACACTGAGTGGGCGGAGCGAGAGAGCCGATGCGCGCGCGGAGCGAGAGAGCCGATGCGCGCGCGGAGCGAGAGAGCCGATGCGCGCTGCGCGCGGCAATCAAAATGAAAAACCGCGTATCTCCGAATTCGCGTAAAACGGGGTAGCGTAAGTCGGGGTATTACTGTATTTTAAGTAGAGTAGCTAAGAGCTAGACTTCGCCTACGTAAAGGTCACATTATACAGGGTGTTTCGATAGAACTTTTAAAATAAATGCATAAAGTCTATATAAACATGGGTCGAAAAATGCGTGGCTTCCGAAATACAGGGTGTTTAAATTTGCTTTCTAAAATAGTTTTTTTTAAATATTTCGAACAATATTTGATGTATAACAGTGAAAATTGGTATACAAGGGTTTTTTGGTACGACGAAACGAACCATGGGCATAGTTTTACTGTAGCCGCTAGAGGGCGCTCTCTACTGTACCTGTAGTGTATTAAAATGACAGAAAAATTTTTCTTAGTGCAATTTTTTGCTTTTTGACTAAAAAAACTGATTCTTCGCACTTTTCAACATAAAAAAGGTCTCTTGTGAATTCTCATTATAGTTAGCCGTTTTTGAGGTATTTCGATTTTTAAGGTTCGATGTATTTTTAATTATTTATGATAAAATAACGTTAAAAAGTCAGTATCTCGATAGTTTTTAGAAGTAGGCTGTGCCTGCAAATATTTTTGAAATTGAAAGCAGAATAAGGTTAAACGTCAATTAGTTGACAGTTAGTTTTGTTGTCTGTTGAAACCTGAAACGTTTTTTTGCAATTGTGAATGCACGAAATTTGGTTTCTTTCACCTGTTTTTTTTTGTAAGTTGTATTGAACAATTGGGTTTACATTTCGAGCAACTACTTTAGATTTTGTATGTTTGTCCTAACTATCCAATAGCATTTTAGTTGTAAATAATTAATTTAATTTGTTAAAAATAATATTGGAAGATTAAACAAATTAATATTCTGTTTTTTTGTTTTTATTTGGAGTTAGGAATTATTGCTGTGTTTAAAAACACAATCTAAACGATCATCTTAATTACTTGTAATGCCCAAATCGAAAATGTAAAAAAATATTTTCCCATAAATAATTAAAAATGTATCGAACCTTAAAAATCGAAATATCTCAAAAACGGCTAACTATAACGAAAACTCACAAGAGAGCTTTTTTATGTTGAAAAGTGCGAAGAATCAGTTTTTTTATTCAAAAAGCAAAAAATTGCACAATCTTAGGTCATTTTAATACACTACAGGTACAGTAGAGAGCGCCCTCTAGCGGCTGCAGTAAAACTATGCCCATGGTTCGTTTTGTTTTACCAAAAAACCCTGGTATATCAATTTTCACTGTTAAACATCAAATATTGTTCGAAATATTTAAAAAAAGCTATTTTAGAAAGTAAATTTAAACACCCTGTATTTCGGAAGCCACGCATTTTTCGACCCATGTTTATATAGACTTTATGCATTAATTTTAAAAGTTCTATCGAATCTTAAAGTTATGCAACAATAAACTGAAACACCCTGTATTGTAGTTTTATAATCTGTCTATTAAAGACATTTTATTATTATTATTCTTATTATTTGAAATGTATGAAAAAAAAAACTGTAATATTATAACTAAATATTTTGAAAAATGGGTATGCTAGAAAAATCGTTCCATGCAAAAGTTGTGAAGTTTCGAGCAGCTCCTGACTGTGTTCGAAAAATCGAGAAAACACGTTGTTTTTTTATTGAAAAAATATTACTTTGCATTGTGATTTTTCGGTTTTTTTTCACAGGAAAATATTAGATGCCCGAATGGTAGCAATAGACGAGGGAAATAGTCGCGTAAGGCGACTGCTTTGCCGATAACGAGGAAATTAAAATCGTTTTTCGACGTTTCAGCGGAATCAAAATTTTAGGCCGAGACCGGCGTGCAGGTTTTATTATGTGCGCTGCACCGCTGCATAAAATGGCGGCCGTCTGCTTTAATTTATTTTTCTGGATACATGCGTTTTCTTTTCCAGTTATGAGTACGGTGCATGAACCGGTGTCTGGCTGGTCGAATAATTTGAATGGCCCATTCAGCTTGAGCGTGGCTGGTGTTATGGGTAAGTGCAAACGCCTCGCCCACCCGAAGACATCAAAAATTGTGTAAATCTTTACATTATATATTTTCATAAAGTAAATTATTACAACGGTTTTCTTAGTTAGAATGATAATTATACACTGCTTTTCTTTAACACATCGGCTGCATTGGCGCATCGAAAACGAAACAGACGCATTTACCGGCAGCTTATTTTTTTTTTAAAAACGCTCAGACCCGTCGTTTTTACTACTTTCAGAAGACATTCGACTAGAAGAATTTACTTAATAAGTAAATGCTTTTCTTCACTTCGCCCACGGTTTGTTGTTGTTGAAAATAGCTATTCGAGCGTTTTTTTTTTGTGGCAAAAAAGTTATTCCTTGACGAAAGATAAGAAAAAATGATTGTTCGTAACTAGTTTTTTTTGTTTCATTTTAGGTATATCAAGTACATTCTTTTTCTCCGTCAAATCCGAGTTGGACGTTGTTTATGTGGATAACGTTGCCAAGTCTTTGATAATAGCGACTAGAGAAAAATATATAAAGTAAGTAAGGCTGCAAAAGGTTCGATACGAACGAACCGCTATTGGAGTAAAGGCTGAAGGTTAACTATCTTCGGTTTTGTACAAGATCCCAGGGATATAAGCCATTGCTTATTTTTTGAAAGACGAAGTGTGAGGCTTTGTGTAGTGTGTATACAGGGCGGCCCAATGTGAAGGTCGCACCCTCATTTGTGACTCACCTGACGTGTTCGAGCGTGTTTCCCAAAATATACCAGGAGAGTCACAAAGGCGTATGTATTTGAACCAGCGACACATTAACAAGAGTAGCAAATTTGTTTGTGGTATCGCTAGATTTGATCGAATTAATCGGAAACCATCGATTCTACATTATAACGTGATAAGCACAATTTTGTAGGAAATTACATTCTTTATCATTTTGCTTCGATAGAAATTTATCATATCATACCATGTTCAGAACCCCACGAGTTTTTGAAGAATATCGAATTTTTTTTTCAAAATCAAAATAAAGTTCATTTAAAGCAACATATTTTCTTGGGAGATGTCAATATAAATATTTTGGACAATGATCCCATCACAAATGAATACTTGAATATCCTATCAAGTAACGGATTTCTGTCCTATATAAACCTACCTACAAGGTCCATCAGTGGCACATGTATAGATCACTGCTTTGTGAAAGACCTATCCAACAAAATTACTTGTATACCAATAATCCTACAAAGCGATATTACTGACCACTTCTCCACTATTTTACTGATATCTTCAAATGAAAAACATTCTAACATCCCTACCGTTAATAACAACCAGGAAAATTACAAATTTTTTGTCGACAATTCAAAACTAATATCAAATGTCAAACAAGAATCCTGGGAACAATTATACTCTATAAATAATATAGACAAAGCAATGGGACTGTTCATAGAGAAAATAAAAAAACTAATAGATATTAGTACCAATAAAGTAATAATTAGTCACAAAGAGAAAAGCAGAAATACCTGGATTACGAAAGGATTAATAACATCGGCAATGGAAAAAGAAAGACTATATAATGTAATGAAACTAACGCCAACTACAGAGAATACCGACTGCTACAACCAATATAAAAATAAATTTATAGAGCTTGTAAGGCAAACCAAACGAAAACCTTACCTAAATAAATTGAATAATAACTTAAATGATCCTAAGCGGCTTTGGACAACTATTGATGAGATTACTGCGAAAACAAAAGTTAAAGAGTGTGTCACTGAGTTAAATTCAACATCGGGAACAGTATTAAAAAATACTCAACAGATATGCGATGAATTTGTACAATTCTTTACTGACATAGGCGAAAATTTAGCAAGTAATATACAAGCAAATGTACAAAATACTCAGCCTCCAAAAAGAACTTTGAACTCATTTATTTTGGATAATGTCGAGCAATGTGAAGTATACACCACTGTTATGTCTTTAAAAAATCGGAAAAGTCCTGGGTTCGATGGTATTAAAAGCGAGCATTTGAAAATTATAGCCGAGGACATAACAGAACCACTCACTCACCTAATCAACAAATGCTTTGAATCTGGCATATATCCCTCAATTTTAAAAAAAGGTAATATAATACCGATACATAAATCAGGAACAAAAACAGATGTTAACAACTATAGACCAATATCAATAATATCCAGTGTAGCAAAGGCTTTTGAAAAAGTTTTATCTACTAGAATGATTCGATACCTCACAAAATTCAAAATTTTAAGTGAAAATCAATATGGATTTACAGAAGGGAAGGCTACATCGGACGCAATAACTAAAATTGTAAATCAAATATATCAAAATATTGATAACAGAATCCCTTCAATCTGCATTTTTGTTGATTTAAAGAAAGCTTTCGACACAGTTAATCACAAATTATTATTAGAAGCATTGGAGAGAATTGGTTTCAGAGGAAACGCGTACTCACTGATCGAAAGTTATTTTTCAAATCGCCCACAATCTGTGCAGATATCAGGATCATTTAGTAAAGAAATGTATATTAAGTGTGGTGTCCCACAAGGAACTGTCTTAGGTCCGCTGTTATTCAATATATATTTAAATGGTATTTTCCAAATTAATTGTGTTGGCAAAATAACTAGCTTTGCAGATGATACTGCAATATTAGATGAAGGCACTGATTGGTCTGATCTGAAAAATGTGATTGAAAATGATTTTATCAAAATTATTCAGTGGTTTAACAGTAGAAAATTAAGCATTAACTACTCTAAAACACATTTTTTACCATTTGGATCTTATGCTAGACATCTGCCAAATTACACAAATTTCTCCTTCAATATTAATGATCAAAAAATGCAAATTAATAGAGTGCCCAACATAAAATACCTTGGAGTGGTCTTGGATCCTCACTTTAAAGAAAGTTAGATTTGTATCCTACAAAATTAAATACCTTGGGAATATATTGACAGAAAAATATCTTCGAACATTATACCATGCACTGATTGAGCCTCATCTCACATATGGTATATTAGCATGGGGAGCTGCATGTTCCTCACATATCTATAATTTAGATGTTTTTCAAAATAGTATTCTAAAAATGATATTTAAAAAACCGAAACTTTATCTCACTGAAAAATTATACGCAGATGTTCGAATGTATGATATAAGACAGCTTTATTTCTTACACAGTATCACTCACTACCATAAATTTGTAAACACCGACCAAAAAATTAAACATAATCATTATACCAGGTACAAAATTCGTGGCACAGTAGTTCCTCAACCGCATAAATCTATAATGCAGCGATCATATCTCTATTTAGCGCCTAAATTTTATGAAATTATACCTAAAGACTTAAAAAATTTACGTTTCGGAAATTGTCTCAAAAGAAATTTAAAAAAGTGGCTACATTCTATATCTAGGACTGAAATTCATAAACTCATAAATACGAACATCAACTAAATACATAATCTACTGTAGCTAATTTTTGTCCTTTTTTGTCATTTGCATTCTACAGTTTCAACTTAAATTATTGGTCCATGTACAGGCGATGCCTTCTATTGGGCCTGTTTTGATTTTATATTTATTTACTCATATTGTTTGTTATCTTTGTACATTGAGTGAATAAATATTATTATTATTATTATTATTATTATTATTATTATATTATAGTCAACAGGTTACGAGAAATTTAAAGGTAAAGGTGCGTGTATGATATTTTCGCTTATTATGGCTAAACTATTTCTAAACGTTCATTTTTTTAACAGCTAAATAAAATCTTATTCTTAAAAATGTATTTCGTTATTCTACTCATTTACAATTCCAAGGGCTTCGTAAGATGTTCATTGAAAAACATACTAAATGATAGCTGATAGGCTATGAAAAGTACTTTAATACATATATAATCTTCCTCAGAATTTAATTTCAGGATTTTGTTTGATTCAATCACTGCATTTTCGATTCGCTTTTATAGCAAACGAGTTAAAGCTTGTTTTTATCTTTTATTATATTCTTTTATTTTCCGTTCATAAGCAATGACAAGAGCGAAGTGGAAGTTTACAACGCAACCTCGGAGCTGATGTGGAAAGTAGCCAACTTCGAATCAACGTACACTCTAAGCCGTGAGCTGGTGCATTTCGAAGATACACTGTGGTATTACAACGTAAAAATGACACACTGCTTTTTCTTATTCTACTTTTGGACGATGTTCCATCTGGCTGTTGCATCAATGTTGGACCTCATCCTCCGGATCCAGGGAAAACGTCCCAGGTAAAAGTTTGCTCATAAAACTCTTTCCAGGTCGTATATGTTATGTATTGCCAAGTCGGGCAATTTACATTTGCCGACTAGCTGTACATTTCGTCGTCTGCAATAACTTTGACTTTGCGAACGGAACTACGTCATGTATAGTTTTCTTATGTGGTACCTAGATTACTTAATATCCATATGCAGCAATCTTAAATAACACTGATCAACAGCCAAAAAATATCCTAAATAAAATCAACAAAATATTACTATTTTTAATGTGCTAAAACCGGAATGAAACTTATTTTTTCAATATTAGTTCAAGTTTTAGAGATACGGTAATTATATGTGTTGCTGCTGTGACAGTGTTAATATACTGTAATTCACAAGAATGCACGTGCTACATTTTTATATTCGGCAAGGAAAGATGATGTAATCGGCATGATTGTGTTACGTTATACATACGTGTACATTATATTGTTTTATATTAGCCATTTTTTCCTCAGTTGGCTGACAGCGTTCATGCAAGATGTCTCGAAAGTGTGTAAACAATCCAGATCAGTTTTGTTACGTGTGTGGTGATGTGACTTTTGCGTCTCAGAGACGGTCTATTACTCCACTAATAACAAAGGCATATCAGCTTTATTTCGGTTGTAGACTAGGTGATCAAGACAAACAGTGGGCACCCCACATCTGCTGTAAATCATGTGCTTCAAGTCTGAGGAGCTGGTTAAATGGCAAAAAACGGTCTATGCGCTTTGCTGTCCCAATGGTTTGGAGAGAGCCTACAAATCATATTAATGATTGTTACTTTTGCATGGTACCTTGTGTTGGACAAGCCACAGGTATGTCCAAGAAAAAAAAATCGGTTACTAACTACCCAAACATACCATCTGCGATGAGACCTGCGCCTCACAGTGACGAAAATCCTATTCCAAAACCCCCAGAATCCTACACTTGCGAATCAGAAAACGAATCAGATCATGGCGATCGAGTGATTCGTCAGGAAGAAGATATGCCATCAACGTCAAGAGATCCTGATTTTATACCGAGCACGTCATGCCACCAACCGCACAAAATAACACAGTCAGAATTAAATGATCTTGTAAGAGATTTAGAACTTCCAAAATGTAAGGCACTGCTGCAGTCTTGGATCAAGACTGCAGCAGTGGAACTTGTTAGAAGACGATGTTTCGGTATGTGTTTTTCGTAAACGCCACAAAGACTTAGAAGCATTTTTCAATATGGAGAATAACTTGGTTTTCTGCAGTAACATTAACGGCTTACTGGCGGCTTTAAATATAAACTATAACTCAGAAGAATGGAGATTGTTTATATAGACAGTTCAACATTGAGTTTAAAGGCAGTGTTATTGCATATTGGAAATATTTTACCATCTCTTCCTGTAGGGTATGGAGTTCACATGAAAGAATCATATGACAATATGAAGTACCTATTGACATGCATAAAATACGATGAGCACCAATGGCATATTTGTGGCGATTTGAAAGTTGTTGCACTTTTACTTGGGCTGCAGCTAGGCTACACAAAGTTTTGCTGTTTTTTGTGTGAATGGGATAGTCGGGCAAAGGCACTTCATTACACCAGACAAAACTGGCCTGTTCGTCAATTCCTAGAGCCAGGTCAAAAAAATGTACAGCATATGCCATTAGTAGATTCGAAAAAAATTTTATTACCACCACTGCATATCAAGTTGGGCCTAATGAAAAACTTTGTCAAGGCATTAGATAGAGATGGGTCAGCTTTTCAATACATGCGTCAGAAATTTCCAATACTAAGTGAGGCAAAGTTTAAAGAAGGTATTTTTGTTGGGCCACAGATTCGAAATATTTTGAAAGATACACAGTTTGAAAACACTTTAACAGGTATTGAAAAAACAGCTTGGAATGATTTCCGTCTGGTGGTCACTAATTTCTTGGGAAATAGAAAAGCTGACAACTATAAAACCCTTGTCAAAAATATGCTGTCATCGTATCAAAAGATGGGTCTCTTAAGATACATTTCCTACACTCACACCTGGACTTTTTTCCTGACAATTGCGGAGCCGTAAGTGATGAGCACGGCGAACGTTTTCATCAGGATATTTCAACAATGGAAAAAAGGTACCAGGGAAAGTGGAATCCTTCCATGCTTGCAGACTACTGTTGGACTTTTGGTAGAGATGCTCCAGAAACGATCCATAAACGAACAGCAAAAAGACAGCGCATGTAGTGATTCTTATAAGTATATGAATCTTGTTACTTTTTTTCAATATATCCTTAAAAATAAAAAGTTTTTTTTCTAAACCGCAACTAATTTTTTTATTTCATTGTCATTTTTGGATTCAGCGCCCCAAAATTAACAAAGAAGTGCACTTTTCCCACAAAATATCAGAAAAAAACTAAAATTTGTTGTCCTAATCAACAATTCATTTAAATTCGCAGTACATTTCCTATCATGTGACAAATTTTTTAGTATGATTTTATTAAAAAATGGCACAATTTATCGATATTCAATAACAGTACCTTTTTTATGTATAAAACCCTAAATTTTCAAATTCTAAAATTGAATTTTAAAAATAGAATCACACAAAAATTTTGAGGCTCAAATAACCTGTTCAATACGCTTCCAAACAAAACTGTCTAAAATTTTTTTTATTTTTAAATCCAGCATAAAAAACTAGGCTAGAATACCAAATTTTATGTCTTTATCTCAACACGTTTCGGAAATATTAAGGAAAAACGATCTTTTAAAGACCGTAGCGCCCTTAGGGGACGTAAAACTCGAAAAGCTCGGGAAACTCGAATATCTCGGAATATTCAAAAACCCGAAAAACGTGAGGAAATTCGAGAAACAGATTTACTCATAAAACTTTTTCCATGTCCGTCGAGTCACGCTGTATTCCATGCACCGCCTTTTTCAGATTAGTAAAACTCAGTCGGGCAATTTACAACGGTCAACTTGCCGTACATTTCTTCGTCTGCAACAAGTTCGACTTTGTGAACGGCAACTACGTCACGCTCGACTCGAAACTCTCCGAGTCCGATAAGGCAGCCTTTCAGTGTCGATGCTTCATTCCGACTGGCAAATTCGAGCAGATCGGTTATGGTTTGAACGCCTTGGAAGGCACCAAGAGGTACACTTTCAAGGAGGAGATGCCGACGCCTGACAGACTGGAGAAGAAACATCAATTGTAAGTCTGCGCTGCCGTATCTTTGATCTGGTTGAAAGCATTACCTATCTTAAATCACTGGTTGAGACTTTTCAGTCGAAATTGCAGCATTCCTAGTCAGTGTTGCATTTTCTATGTCATGTTCTGTTATCAATAATTCATAGATTTTTTGTGACTTTCATTTTTACAATTATTAACCGTATTTTATAATTTTTCAGGCTATGTGCTCTACAGGCAGTGATAGAATTCGTAAAACCGCTGCTGTTAGTTTGGATTATCTATTTATGTATATTTTGAATAATGTTGAATCCTCCGTGTCTTGTAGGATAGTTTATTTTTGTACTGTTATTGATGTTTGTAATAATGTCTAGTAGTAAATTTTCAGATCATATGAAACATACAAATGTTCATTCTTCATACGTTTTTTATACCTATGGTGTCTGGCTATTATTTTCCGAATCTTTTTGAACACAACAAGGCAGATTTGGGACATAGGAGGTACGATCTTTGGAAAAATGCGAAATCCACTGTTCCGATTGTTCCTTGGTGTCTTGTGTGTCGGATTGCTCTTAAGGACTATTCACACTGAGCCGTGACGTGACAGTGCCGTGACGTGACAGTGCCGTGACTTGCCAGTGAGCAAGGGGCACTGGACGCCGCCGTAGAACAACAGACCGTGAAGATTATTGGCCTTAAGGGATCGTTTCTCCACTACCAGGTCCATTGCAAATGAATGGTTTGCAGAACACGGAAGACCTATTGGCATGCGAAGTGTTTACCGACGAATGAGAAGTTTTGGCTTGTTTTCATACCGGCCACACTGGGTCCTCCCTTTAACTCGAGAACACCGACGTAATCGCCTTGAGTGGTGCAGACAACGGTCACTCTGGGATCAGGAATGGAACAGTATGGAACAGTATTGTCTTCATCAGAGGTAACATGAACGCGCAGCGTTATATCCACGAAGTTCTAGAACCCCATCTTTTACCCTATCTTGACACCCTGGCCGATCCAACTTTCCAACAAGATAATGCCCGACCACATGTTGCAAGAGTCACAATAGACTTCTTTCAACATAATGATGTCACATTGTTACCATGGCCACCAAGATCTCCCGACTTATCCCCAATTGAGCACGTGTGGGATACGATGGGTAGGAGATTGCTCAATTTGCAACGTCCTCCTCAGACTCTAGAAGCACTTCGAGAGGAGTTGGTGGTTGCCTGGAATGAGATACCACAGGAGGACATTGACCACCTGATCAGAAGCATGCCTAGGCGCGTTGGAGAATGCGTAGCACATCAGGGTGCATCCACACATGATTAAAGGTCAAAGGGCTTTAAAGCAGTGCAATCATTGAAACTGGGTGTTCGGATTTATCACTTAAATAGGCACTTACTTACGGCAAATAAGTTCAATGTCGAAAAACTTTAATGATTATTCGTTAATAATTTTAGAGCCCAAACTAAAAACATTAGTTATTCTAAGGCACAGTTATCACCGGGCACAATCCGTACAATTACATATGAACAACAGAAATCACTTGGCGGTTTATATATTATAGCCCCGGTATTTCCCCGTATGTAAAATACCGTTCTGGTATTCACCGACGGGAAATCACCGATGAGGAATCACCGACGGGGAACCACACCTTTTTTTCGAAAAAATGAAAGCCTGCCAATGTTTTGAGATGTTTAGATATTTATTAGACGCAAGTGGTGCAGAGTCAATTTTCTTGACGATTTTTTTCCCTCCCAGATACATCGTAAGCGATTGATTCAAAAGGTACAGTGAAAAAATGCATATTATCGAGGAAATTTAAATGTCTAATAAGGTACTAGATCTAAACATTATTCATAAATTACAATTCGCAGCTAGAATAATGATGTTTAGGTTGTTCATATTTATAGACCAACTAAATACATTAAAAATTCTTTTGTTCCTATAAATGATGCGACGTTTTATTTGATCTTACAGGGTGTAACTGTTTTGCCAAATTTTGGTCTCAGTCTGCCAAGATATACACTGGGCTGTCCCAAAAAAGTGAAAGTTCCTTTTTTCAATCGCATACCCTCTAGTTTTGCTTGAATCAGTAAACGTACCGTTTTCGTGCCGCAGGAATTACGCAGTTCGATAAAGGGAATATTTTAAACAACGAAAGAAATGGAGGATATTAAAGCGTACACCCTATAGTCCCTATTTATCACCTTGTGATTTTCACAACTTTCGGCCACTGAAAAAGGCATTAAAGGGACAGTTGAACGAAGAAGTACAAAATGTCCTAAAAGCAGCAGCCACAAGAATTATTTAAGCGCGATCGGTGAAACAATGGGATCCATGTAAGAGAAGAATCATCATCGGGATATCGCAAAAAGCATACAGTGGACCTCCGGTAATTCGACAAACATTATGCAGGGCAGTGTCGGACTATCGAATTTGTCGGATTATAGAGCACTGCCTAGTCCGGAATTTTTTACAAAAGAGTACCTTGTAATCCGGCAAATTACGTACCCAATGGTAAGATTATATGGAGCAGTTGCAATCACGTCGTCGTTCTTTTTCTGATTGTTTGTTTTATAATTAGAAATCTCTTTTATAATCTCTTCGTCAGACATTTCATGAAAAACATTTTCCTCTTTATCCATTCCACGGCACCAGATTTCCAAATCTTCCGGACTTAGCTGTGTTTCAGTAGCGACTTGTTCTATAACTTCCGAAGTAACACTGATTTGTGGAACGTTGCTAGGAGTGGTGACTATATCTGGCCATAACTTTTTCCAAGACGATTTAATAGTTGATGACGGTAACGCATTCCACGACTGACAAAGAGCAAAAACCAAGTCTGTCATATTAAATTCTTTTACAGTTTTTTCTATTGGTTGGTCTTTTGATACGGCTCTCAGAAGTGGGTTTTTCTTATAGTCTTGCTTGACAAACTGATTGATATTCTGGTCCATTGGTTGAATCAGTGCAGTGCAATTTGGCGGAATGTTTTGTGTTTTCGCTTCTGAGTTTGTGATGACATTACTAGGTACTACACTTGATACACAATGAATAAATAGTAAACAATGAACGCACGCTAGGCCGTACCGCTATCACCAGTAGTCAAATTCAAACTAAGCAAAACAATGCTTACGCGTCGAGCACGATAGCGGTGGCGCGTACAAGTTGCAACCTGTTCAAACCTGCGTGATCTGCATTAGCGAAAATTGTCAAATACGTATGTATGCAATACATATTCAAAGACGTGTCGGATTACAGGGGGCGCCGGATTATCGGGGGTCCACTGTATTTATGACTGATTTAAAGACGTGCTTGTCATAGAGAATAAATATGTGGACTCAACGCAACGAAATCACTTGACCGGCATTGACCTCCGACTGAATGTACTTAGAATATTTGAATGTTTAATTCATTGAAAATTTCGATCATTTCATTAAGCCACTGATCCAGCTGGTGCGAGGTAACGAAAAATGTTTAGCAGAAAAAACCCCTCGATTCCGGAATATTTCAGCGGGAAAAATATTTTTTTGACCGGCGGTACAGGTTTCTTGGGCAAAGTTCTGATCGAGAAGTTACTCAGATCCTGTCCAAACGTCGGTGATATATATGTGCTAGTGCGACAGAAAAGGGGTAGTACCTTGAAGGAGAGAAGGGAGGATATCATCAATGCAAAGGTACGTCGTTTGTTTTCTCACTTACAGATCGTTGACAAATTTCAGTTCAGGCTCAATTTCAGACAAAACTAAATTATGAATCTTACGCATCTTTTAACAATCGAATCTCGTTAGCAAATAACATACTAAAATTGTAAGAAAATATTTCACGTTTAAAGTGGGTCGGCGCAATTATTTTTTTATCATTTATTTTCGAAAGGGTTTTGCTTTTTGAAGAAAATATAAAGTAATTACTTACAATATATAAATTCTCATACACTTTCAGAAACTGTATTAGTTGTTAATAAGTTGTTAGAAAAATACAAAAATTCATTTTTTGACAAAAAACCGTTTTTCGGTCATCTCTACAGGGTGTAATTTAATTGATGGCCAAAAATGCTCGATATGATTCCTTAGCTCAGCTTAGGAAGGAAAGTCTTTATGAAGATATGTCCTAAACCTCTTAACTTTTGAGCTACAGGGTGTTAAAATTTAAAAAAAAATCGGTTTCTCATTATAACTTTAATACTGTTCTAGACTTACACCACAACCAAGCACCAATAGGCATTTTGTGATGTAGAATATTATTCAATATTTCTGCCAATGGCGTCCGTACTTGAGACTTAAAAAATATGGTATGCCATTAATTTATTGTTAACAAGTTGTTAGATAAAAACAAAAATTAATTTTTTGACAAAAAACTGTTTTTCGGTCATCTCTACAGGGTGTAATTTAATTGATGGCCAAAAATGCTCGATATGATTCCTTAGCTCAGTTTAGGAAGAAAAGTCTTTATGAAGATATGTCCTAAACCTCTTAACTTTTGAGTTACAGGGTGTTAAAATTTAAAAAAAATCGGTTTCTCATTATAACTTTAATACTGTTCTAGATATTTTTATGAAATTTAACATACACCACAACCAAGCACCAATATGCATTTTGTGTGTAGAATATTTTTCAATATTTCTGCCAATGGCGTCCGTACTTGAGACTTAAAAAATATGGTATGCCATTATTTTTTCCGAAAATAAAAATCATTTTTAAAATCCTCATTTATTTTGCAACAAATTTGCCCTACACCCTTTTTACGTAAAGAATAACCACCGTTATGGCTATTTTAAATTTTAATCAAATGACTTGAATACACATCTTACCTACAAACTACATGAAATCTTAGTGATACTGTAATACATTAAAATTAAAAAACAAATTTCGACAATTTCTGTGGATCAAATAAACTAATACTACTTAATTTAATTATGAAAAGAATTTTTGAAAATGTCCTCTTTCTTCTAGAATACGGGCTTCAATTCTATTTCCCATGGATTGGCGAACCCTTTCAAAAATTCCACAAGTATTTTTTATGGTTTGGCAAGAAAATAAAATTGTCCTCTTCCTCTACAGTTTGAGCCGGTGTAGTAGTCTTAACTATTTAAATCAGAGAACCTGGCAGCACCAGCAGCACTAGAAGCGCTTGGTGTTAAAGATAGAACGGAACACAAAAATTCTTGGTGGACGGACGATTTAACCCAACTGGTAGAAGAAAAGAAAAACTTATATCTTAAATGGTTAACTACAAAAGACGATGAAGATCGAAAAAGCTATAATCGTTTTAAATATATAGTAAAAAAATAAATTAAAAAAATAAAAAACAAAACATGGGAAACCAAATGTGCTGAAATTAGCCCAATGGTAGGAGGATCTAGGTCTAGAGAAGCTTGGCGAACTATAAATGGTCTTAAAACAAACACGAATGAAAGAAGAAAAATAAATCCCATAAAAATAGAACGGTGGAAAGACTACTACAATAATCTACTGGCAGAACAACGTGGAGAGTATTTAGACACGTAACTAGATATAGATCAAACGGGAGTTAACAGAGTAGATACCATTCGATTAGAAGAAATAAAAACGGCATTACAAAAAATGAAAAATAATAAAGCTCCGGGACCGGGGGATTTACCTATCGAGTTAATTAAACACGCCACCACAAGAACGCACTAGCTACTTTGTGTAATTTTTAACAAGTGCCTGGAAGCGGAAACGATTCCCAGAGATTGGAGGAGCTCTTACATAAATTCCATTTATAAAAAGGGAAACAGGAGTGACTGTAGTAATTATCGGGGTATTAGTATTACATCGTCCATCGGAAAGCTGTACGAAAGAGTCCTAACAGCCCGAATAGAAGACGAAGCCACGGAAATTGAAGAACAAAGTGGATTTCGATCTGGGCGATCCTGTGTCGACAACATATTTACAATAAAACAACTGACAGAAAAGAGATTAGCGCTACTTTTATAGATCTCCGCAAGGCATTCGACTCCGTCCCTTTGCAGAAATTATGGATCGCAATGAAAGAAGCAGGCATAAATAGCAAATACATAAACGCCGTAAAAGCAATGTATAGAGAAAATCAAGTGGTCGTTAAAGTCGGAAATCAAATTTCTGAGACTTTCCCACAAACAAAAGGTGTTAAGCAGGGCTCCTGCCTCTCTCCAACCCTGTTTAAAATTTATATCTGCAGCGCTTTAAAACAGTGGATAAGAAAGTGCAGCCCCATGGGGATATGGTTAGAGGACTTTCACCTGTATACAATCCTCTTTGCAGATGATCAGGTAGTCTTTGCAGAAGACCAGCAAGACATGACTTACATGATAAACAAACTTATAGAAGAATTCACTAAATGGGGTTTGGAGATAAATATACAAAAGACACAATACATGACTATAGGAGGCACAGGACAAGACATCGAAACAAAAAGCGGAAAAATAGAAAACGTACCTAGGAGTTACAATAGATGAAAGCGGAAAGGATAATAAAGACATACTAAGGAAAATAGGAAAAGGAAAAAATATGATTAAAACACTACATCCGATCTTGTGGAGTAAGAACCTAACAAAGAAAACAAAAAAAATTATATATTAGCCAGTACTGACGTATGGGTCAGAAGCGTGGGTTGTAGATAAAAATATGTCACAAAAGCTTCTCTCAACCGAAATGATGTACTGGAGAAGATGTTCCGGTTTAACTTTACTTGACCATGTTAGAAATGGGACCATCAGAGAAAGAATGGAAGTCGAAAATACAATAATGGACGATATAACAGAGAGGCAGTTAAAATGGTATGGACACCTGCAACGGATGAACGAAGAAAGAATACCATTAAGGGTTTGAAAATGGACACCAGCACAAAGAAGTAAACGAGGAAGACCACGAAGGAAATGGATTTCAAACATCCATACCGCAATGGAAAGTAGAGGACTACATGAAGGAGACTGGAACGATAGGATACGATGGCGTATGGGTTGCGAGAAGCGACCTTAGGTTGCAGAAACTCGCCATATATATATATAGAGAACCTGGGAGGTCAAGATTGTTCCTCCAGCGATTCATTTAGAAATTCCCTAGCACGAATGCTTAAATGTGCAGGAGCACCACATGCACCACATTTCTACTCTTAGTAAGAGGTACATCGTCGAGCAAAATTGGCAAACCGTTTTCAAGAAAGTGTCGATAGGATAGTCCGTCGAGTTATTCTGGAAGGAAGAACGGTTAATTATCAACAAGTATTTTCAAAATAAAAAATGGGAAACATCAAGCATTACCTAAATTTTCCTACTACTTTTCTCTGGATATTCTGGTGCACCTAGGACTCTCCCAGTTTCTTGTAGTCTTCTCGGAATTTGTAAATCTTGGCATAGTTTACTAATTTTCTCTTTATTATTGATTAAAGAAACCTTCACAATGTAAAAATAAAACCGCAAAGAAATCGATCATATTAATGTCATTATTTTAAAAACTAAACAGGGCACCAGCCCCCTGGTTTTCATTTTTTATGCAAAAATGGTGCATTGGATGGAACAAAGTTGAAGACTCAAATTTGTTGCAAATTAAATGAGGATTTCAAAAATACTACGTACCACATTTTTTTGTGGTGCTTAGCAGGTGCATGTCAAATTTCATGAAAATATCTAGAACACTACCTATTATGTTTTTCTTAAAACTTGAACACCCTGTAGCTCAAAAGTTAGTAGGCTTAGGACATATGTTCGTATGAACTTTTCTTCCTAAAATGAACTAAGGAATTATATCCTGTCTTTTTTGGTCATCGATTAGATTAGACATACTGAAAAGTAGTGCTGCTGGTGGTAGCTGGCATCCCGCCAATTGATTTGCTGACAGCGGAGAGATGCGCACTGCATAAAAAGGGCGCTTCACGATGAACCTCTATATTTATAGACTTCTTGTATTTCTTCCCATACCTTTTCTTTCAGCTATTTGATATAGTCAAGGAACAGAATCCGAAGGCCTTGGATAAAGTAAAATGTATAGCAGGCGATACGACAGAGCTAAAGTTAGGTGAGTTCCGAATACCACTTGTTGCTTAAAAACTTTTGAGCTTTGTGAAAATTAAAGGAATATTCTGCATACTAGCATAGTAGCAGATGCGCGTAGCCCAAGAATTAAAATACTCTCGAGAATTGAATTTTAATTTTGTTACTTGCGAATCTCAAAAATGATATGAGGTGGCCATGTTTGTGGTTTGAATCGCCAATAAACTATAAATTTAGAGAAAAACTACTAAGACCATTTTTTGTCCAGAAAACTTGGAAAAGCTTTGTCAGTAGTAAAAGACCAACTACACTAAGTGACATATAAATCCGAACACCCAGTTTAAATGGTTTTATTTTAATAAAAGTTGGTGAATGTATTTATCTTACTGTAAATAACAAGTGAAAAATTTTTCAGCCTTATCAGTTGGACATTCCGGTTTTTATACTGCTTTTTTTTAATTCACTAATGCTCTAAAAATGAATATTTCAGTCGCAGTAAAGAATCAACCGTTGGCGGATTTTGGTTCTTGACATCATTTACGATCGGTTACGATGCCTAGAGTACGGAGACCTGTACGATTTCGTCAACTTAGTGAGTTTGATAGGGGCCGTATAGTGGGACTTCGGGAAGCTGGACTTTCTTTTCGGGCAATTGCAGTTAGAGTGCAAGGAAGTGTAGACGCTGTGGTTAGGTGTTGTCAGGCATGGCTTCGAGAAGGCCGTACGCAAAGAGCAAGGAGCACTGGACGCCGCCGTAGAACAACAGACCGTGAAGATCGCCGCCTAAGATTATTGGCCTTAAGGGACCGTTTCTCCACTACCAGGTCCATTGCAAATGAATGGTTTGCAGAACACGGAAGACCTATTGGCATGCGAAGTGTTTACCGACGAATGAGAAGTTTTGGCTTGTTTTCATACCGGCCACACTGGGTCCTCCCTTTAACTCGAGAACACCGACGTAATCGCCTTGAGTGGTGCAGACAACGGTCACTCTGGGATCAGGAATGGAACAGTATTGTCTTTAGTGACGAGTCTCGATTTTGTTTAGGCATGCACGATGGTCGTGCCAGGGTTAGAAGGCGACGTGGTGAAAGGACGAATCCACAGTTTTTTGTTGAAAGACATGTTCATCACACTGTTGGAGTTATGGTTTGGGGTGCTATAGCTTATGGTTCCAGGTCACCTTTAATCTTCATCAGAGGTAACATGAACGCGCAGCGTTATATCCACGAAGTTCTAGAACCCCATCTTTTACCCTATCTTGGCACCCTGGCAGATCCAACTTTCCAACAAGATAATGCCCGACCACATGTTGCAAGAGTCACAATAGACTTCTTTCAACATAATGATGTCACATTGTTACCATGGCCACCAAGATCTCCCGACTTATCCCCAATTGAGCACGTGTGGGATATGATGGGTGGGAGATTGCTCAATTTGCAACGTCCTCCTTAGACTCTAGAAGCACTTCGAGAGGAGTTGGTGGTTGCCTGGAATGAGATACCACAGGAGGACATTGACCACCTGATCAGAAGCATGCCTAGGCGCGTTGGAGAATGCGGAGCACATCAGGGTGCATCCACACATTATTAAAGGTCAAAGGGCTTTAAAGCAGTGCAATCATTTTGAAATTTTTATCATTTACTTATTATGCTTCATTAAGTACTTATACAAAATTTTATTAAAATAAAACCATTTAAACTGGGTGTTCGGATTTATATGTCACTTAGTATATGTCTATAATTTGAAAGATCCTTCACAGAGGGAGAAAACTTTCGACAGGAAATATACCGTTTGTACTGTATCCATTCCAGTACGGAAAACGTGCTATGGAAAAAGAAACGAACCTCCGGTTTACGCCTCGTCTAACCTGAAATGCGCTATTTCAGGTATAAGCGACGAAGACGAAAGGTTGATCACGTCAAAGGTGAACATCATCTACCACGGGGCCGCATCGGTTCGATTTGACGATCCTTTGCGATCAGCGGTCATCACGAATATCAGGAGCACCAGGGAGATTGTAGAATTGGCCTCGAAGTGTGCCAAACTGGAGGTGTTCATGCATATCAGCACAGCCTACTGCAATGTCGACTCGACTTACATTGAGGAGGAGATGTACCCGTCGCCGGTTAGTTATACAGGGTGGCACAATTTTAGTATACCAAATTAATTTAATGATAGGCTGTTTACGATAATTGTCTATACATGTCAAAGGGAGACGGAGAGAATTTTCCTTTTAATTCTACCCTGACTTCGTTTGCAACGGGATGTTACGATAAATCGCATTTTAACATTGCCACTTTCTCTCATCTCTCATTAGAATTTCGATACGGCGTTTCGTCTCTTATCCTCCAGCACCAACTTCATTTTTTTGTATTTTCACACAGCTAAATAGGGTTCTTAATTCTGATTCAAAAAATTGTCAAACTCAAGTTGTTTCAAAAATACCAACATTTGCATAGCTGGCCTTGAAAATGACAGTTTAGCATATTTTTATTAAATCAAATTATCTAATTGGATAAATTAGATATTCATAAAAACATTACAACTATTATGACTTTGCGTTGAGTCGGTTTGGGGGACGCATATTAAATCAAATAAAAGTTCGGATCATCCTAGGAAACAAAAGAATGTATAAGCATTAAAACACACACCTTTGAATTGTAATTACGAATAATGTTTACGTGTAAAACGAAAACGTTTGCAGCAATCACTTATCGCTCATCTGAAACAGATAATGTCGTCGAGTAGCTGTGTGTTGTGTCTTGTTCTGGGTGCTCCGTATTTTGCTGCGTTGGTTCTGAGCGGGTCCTTCTGAAGGAACGGATTCCGATGGAAGAAATCGATTTCGATGGTTTTGATCCCGATTCTGATAGCTTAGATCCTGATTCCGATGGTTTGGATTCCGATTCTGATGATTCCGATTCCGGTTCCGGTGGTTTCGATTCAGATTACGATGGTTTCGGTTCTGACTCTGATGGTTGCGATTCAAAATCCGATAATTAATATACCCGTGGTGTTGCTTCAGATCCTGGTGTGTTTCGATTTGGTTCTGGTGGTTTCGATTCCGATCCTGAAGGTTTTAATACCAATTCTTATGGTTTAGATTCTGACTTCCGATTATTTATAGTCAGATTGCGGTGGCTACGATTTCAATTCTGATCATTACGATTCCGATGATCTCGACCTCTATTCTGATGGTTTTGATTTCGATTCCGGTTTCTATTCTGGTGGTTTTGTTTCTGATCCTGGTGGTGTTGATTCCGATTCGGATTCAGAAGATTTAGTTTCCGATTCTGATGGTTTTGACTCCGATTTCGATTCCAGTTATGATGATTTCAATCCCGGTTCAACAGGTTCTGATTCAGTTTCTGTTCCGATGCTGATGGTCTAGATTCCTGTTCCCGTGGTTCTGTTTATTCTGGTGGTGTTGATTCCAGTTTTGATTTGACTATAGTGGTTTCGATTCCGATTCTGACGGTTTCGATACCTATTCTTATGGTTTCGATTCCAATTCCGATTATTTCGATTCAGATTCCAGCGGCTACGATTTCAATTCTGATAATTTCGATTCCGGCTCCTGTGGTTCCGATTCAGATTACGATGGTTTTGGTTCTGACTCTGATGGTTTCGATTCCAAATCCGATAAGTAATATTCCCATGGTTTTGCTTCAGATTCTGGTGGTGTTGATTTCTATTCCGATTTGGTTCTGGTGGTTTAGATTCCGATCCTGAATGTTTTAATACCAATAGATTCCGACTTCCGATTATTTCTAGTCAGATTCCGGTGGATACGACTTCAATTCTGATCATTACAATGGTTTTGATCCCTATTTTGATGGTTTTGATTTCGTTTCCGGTTTCTATTCTGGTGGTTTTGTTTCCGATTCAGAAGATTTAGTTTCCAATATTGACGGTTTTGACTCCGATTTCGATTCCAGTTATGCTGATTTCTATCCCGGTTCTGGTTCTGATTCAGATTCCGATGGTTTCTGTTCCGATGCTGATGGTTTCGATTCCGAATCCGGTAATTCCTATTCCTATTCCCGTGGTTTTGTTTATTCTGGTGGTGTTGATTGCAGTTTCGATTTGGTTCTAGTGGTTTCGATTCCGATTCTGACGGTTTCGATAACTATTCTTATGGTTTCGATTCCGACTCCGGTGATTTCGATTCCAATTCCGATTATTTCGATTCAGATTCCGGTGGCTACTATTTCAATTCTAATAATTTCGTTTCTGGTTCCGGTGGCTAAGATTCCGATAATTTAGATCCCGATTCCGATGGTTTGGATTCCGATTCTGATGATTTCGATTCCGGTTCCGGCGGTTCCGATTCAGATTACGATGGTTTCGGTTCTGACTCTGATGGTTTCGATTCCAAATACGATAATTAATATTCCCGTGGTTTTGCTTCAGATTCTGGTGGTGTTGATTCCGATTTCGATTTGGTTCTGGTGGTTTCCATTTCGATTCTGAAGGTTTTAATACCAATAGATTCCGACTTTCGGTTATTTCTAGTCAGATTCCGCTGGATACGTTTTCAATTCTGATCATTACGATTCCGATGGTCCCGATCCCTATTCTGATGGTTTTGATTTCGATTCCGGTTTCTATTCTGGTGGTTTTGTCTCCGATCCTGGTGGTGTTGATTCCGATTCCGATTCAGAAGATTTAGTATCCAATATTGACGGTTTTGACACAGATTTCGATTCCAGTTATGCTGATTTCGATCCCGGTTCAAGAGGTTCTGATTCAGATTCCGATGGTTTCTGTTCGGATGCTGATGGTTTCGATTCCGAATCCGGTAATTCCTATTCCTATTCCCGTGGTTTTGTTTATTCTGGTGGTGTTGATTCCAGTTTTGATTTGGTTGTAGTGGTTTCGATTCCGATTCTGACGGTTTCGATACCTATTCTTATGGTTTCGATTCCAACTCCGGTGATTTCGATACCAAATCCGATTATTTCGATTCAGATTCCGGTGGCTACTATTTCAATTCTGATAATTTCGATTCCGGTTCCGGTGGCTCCGATTTCGATGGTTTCAATTTCGATTCCGGCGATTCCGGTTTCTATTCCGGTGGTTTTGTTTCTGATCCTGGTGGTGTTGAATCTGATTTCGGTGGTTCCGATTCTGACTCAGACGATTCAGATTCCGATTCTGACGGTTGCTATTCCGATTTCGATTATTACGATTCTTGTTATGATGATTTCGATTCCGGTTTAATTATGATCCTGATGATTTCTATTCTAATGGTTTCGATCTAGATTCCGATAGTTTCGATTCCGATTTCTATTCCGATAGTTTAGTTTTTCCGATTCTGTTGATTTCGATTCCGGCTCCTGTGGTTCCGATTCAGATTACGATGGTTTCGCTTCTGACTCTGATGGTTTCGATTCCAATTCCGATAATTAAAATTCCCGTGGTTTTGCTTTAGATTCTGGTGGTGTTGATTCCGATTTCGATTTGGTTCTGGTGGTTTCGATTCCGATCCTGAAGGTTTTAATACCAATTCTTATGGTTTAGATTCCGACTTCCGATTATTTCTAGTCAGATTGCGGTGGCTACGATTTCAATTCTGATAATTTCGATTCCGGTTCCTGTGGCTCCGATTTCGATGGTTTCAATTTCGATTCCGGCGATTCCGGTTTCTATTCCGGTGGTTTTGTTTCTGATCCTGGTGGTGTTGACTCTGATTTCGGTGGTTCCGATTCTGACTCAGATTCAGATTCCGATTCTGACGGTTGCTATTCCGGTTTCGATTATTACGATTCTTGTTATGATGATTTCGATTCCGGTTTAATTATGATCCTGATGATTTCTATTCTAATGGTTTCGATCTTGCTTCCGATAGTTTCGATTGCGATTTCTATTCCGATAGTTTAGTTTTGATGGTGTTGATACCGATTTATATTTCAGATCTTGTTTCCGATGGCTAAGATTTCAATTCTGACGATTTCAATTGCGGTTCTGGTTCCGATGATTTCGATTCCGTTCCTGATGGTTTCGACACCAATTCAGATGATTCCGATTCCTATTCCGGTGGTTTTGTTTCTGATTCTGGTGGTATTGAATCCGATTTCGATTTGGTGATTTCGATTGCGATTCAGAAGACTTAGATTCCGATTCCGATAGTTTCGATTCCGACCCTAGTGGTTTAGATTCCGATTCCGGTAGTTTTGATCCGAATTTCGAGAATTTCGGTTCCGATTCCGATGATATCGATTCCGATTTTGATGGTTTCGATTCCGATTATTCTTTTTCCGATTCCAGTAGTTTTAATTGTTTAATGTTCTACTAATATTCATCATTCATAAAATTAAGTTTCATCAAAAAACAAGCGTCAAGTTTTTTTTATTTTGATGGCTTTTCTGGAATATACGCTCGATGCATGATATCTTAGTCATTTATTATGCTCATAGGTGCACTGGAAGGATGCGATAGATCTAGCGGAATCTGACATGGATCTATCTGTGATGACTGTCAAATATACAGATCCTTGGCCAAATACCTACACATTTACGAAAAGAATTGCGGAGCATGTTACCGCAGACCTGTGTAAAGACAAAATACCTGCCGTCATATTTAGGCCATCTATAAGTGAGTATCTTTTTTATATACTTCTAAATCGTAAAAGTATGGAAACGTAAAAACAACGAAAAATATTTTTCCTAGAGGTTATTTAAAGATCAAGAAGGTTCGGTTAAATACATACCCATATTTTTGGCAGCGGAAATGTAAAGACATGGACATTTTACGTTCAAGTATGTCCGTTGACTTTCAAAACAATTTGAAGGTCAAATTAATTTTCTGACAAGTTCTGTGTCCAAGAATATAAAGGGAGAAGCTTTTACCTGTTTATAACCTTAAATAATAACTTTTTTTTGATTAAGTAAATACAAAAGGCGGAGAATTTTACGTTCAAGTATGTCCTTTTGTCAATGACCTCGACTGAGGTCTTTTGAAGAACTCTGTGTTTTGAGTGAACTATTTTGTTTCCAGAAAATAAAAAAGTGAATCGTTTTACGGTCAAGGTCACGATCATGTATTTGACGGTGACCTTGTCAGGGTCATTTGAAGACGAAATTAATTTTTTTATAGAAAATTTAATTTTTTCTGAAAATGTAGTTTCACGTTCAGGTAAATGCTTGCCCGCCATAAAACATTGACCTCTGAATCTCAATAGTTGCTTAATGGAAAATGATCTTGAATAATGTGCTTCTTAGAGGGTAGGCTTGAAGAGGATCAACATCTCGTCAATTTAAGGTTAAGTTTCATTTTATATAATAAATTTGGAAACAATATATTTCGTTTATAAAATGAATGATTATGATCAATGGACATAGACCACCACTTTATATTTGTTTTGAGACTATGGTCTTTTTTGTTTAATTTAACTGGACTATCAATATTTCTGTTACAGTTGTGCATGCCGATTCTGAACCGATGCCTGGTTGGGTAGACAACATGAATGGTCCATTTGCACTTGCTGTAGCGGGTCTTATGGGTAAAACATTTTATTACAATGTCAGTGATCCTAAATTTTTAAAGCTCTCTACTACTGCATAGATCAGAAGGTTGCCAGGCTTTGCTTAAACAATTTCTTAAGCAAATTACAAAACACCGAAAGTTTCACAAAAAAAAAAACCATACGAACAACCAAATGACTCGATAGAGTTCCAACTTGTGCAGAAGACGGCGCCTCCAGCTCGGCACCTCCGGTGTTGCCAGATAGAATGTAACGTTGCCAGTTTCATCACGTACCTCGTACGTTTTCCCCCCGATTAATGTGTTATTGTCTATTACAGGAGTTGCATGCATCTTCTATGCTAAAAAAGACAGCTACTTGGACTTTATCAGCGTAGATAATGTCGTCAAAGGCATGCTTGGCGCTACATGGGAAACTGGCTTAAGGTATGCGTCAATTTTATATTATTGTGAGCTTTTTAATAATGAACCTGACGTGGAAATCTCACAACCCCCCCGCCCTCCCGCCAATTCATGAAAAGTGATCAGGAGAATGTGGAACGTGCAAACCAGAGTTAAGCCTGCTTTTAATTTTTTGCCTATTTCAAAAACTATAAAGGTCTTCGCTTGTTGGCCTCCTGGCGTATAGGAGCGCGCGCGGGTGCGTTGACAGTTGAATATACTTCACGTTCGTTTATTTTTTTATGATTTCCAGAAAGGATAAGAGTAAAATTTCCATCTACAATGCATGCTCGGAGCTGAAATACATGATGCCTTGGTTCGCCTTATTCCAGTACAAGGTAGGAACTAAAATATTTCTCGAGAAAACGCTATGGAAATTCACCGTTCAGATTGCGCAATGCTGGTATTGGTACTACATCAGGACTATGTTACATGTGGCTCTGAGCATAGCTATCGATGGGATTTTGAAGCTACAAGGAAGAAAGCCCAGGTACTATGAAAACAACTTAAAATTCGAGTTACTTTCAGGGCCGCAACATCCTCTTATCCTTTGCTCATATCAGGTCTGATAACATTCTAGGTTGCTGAAGCTAGTGAGGTTGATCTACGTTGTCCAGCACGCGTTGACTTATTTCATGACGCACGCGTTCGTTTTCAACACGGATAACTTCGACGGTCTGGACAAAAAGTACTTGGAATGCGACAAAGAGGCGTTCAGACAGGTGGGAAGGCCAAAATACATGGAAGAACACTTCAGAAAGTTCTCTTACAACGCCTTATTAGGAGTTAAACGATTCGTATTCAAGGAGAGAGAAATGACCACAGAAGAAGCAATCGCGATGAATGGAAGGTAACGTACATTGATGGTCATATCGAGGTTCTAAGAGGAACAACACTTAGACGAGTCCTCATGCACCTCTACATTCCCTAAAACCGCAAGCCTCGCTCTTCCAGCTCTTTAACGTTCTGGGGGTCCAAAGTGATGGACTAAGTGCCTCCATTGCAGCCTTGCTGTCGGAGAAGATTGTTATCCATCTCCTAGGCTCTCCCCACTCCAAAATGCAGGATACGCAAGCCAGAATCGCGAAGATTTCCGCCTGGAAAATAGTGGTATTTCCACCAAGAGGCAGAGGTAGCGTAGTAAATACTCTGGCGAAGCAATGTTTGAGCCGAGGGTGAACTCGGGGAACAACACTTAGACGAGTCCTCATGCACCTCTACATTCCCTAAAACCGCAAGCCTCGCTCTTCCAGCTCTTTAACGTTCTGGGGGTCCAAAGTGATGGACTAAGTGCCTCCATTGCAGCCTTGCTGTAGGAGAGGATTGTTATCCTTCTCCTAGGCTCTCCCCACTCCAAAATGCAGGATACGCAAGCCAGAGTCGCGAAGATATCCGCCTGGAAAATAGTGGTATTTCCACCAAGAGGCAGAGGTAGCGTAGTAAATACTCTGGCGAAGCAATATTTGAGCCGAGGGTGAACTCGGGGAACAGCATTTAGACGAGTCCCCGTGCACCTCTACATTCCCTAAAACCGCAAGCCTCGCTCTTCCAGCTCTTTAACGTTCTGGGGGTCCAAAGTGATGGACTAAGTGCCTCCATTGCAGCCTTGCTGTAGGAGAGGATTATTATCCTTCTCCTAGGCTCTCCCCACTCCAAAATGCAGGATACGCAAGCCAGAGTCGCGAAGATATCCGCCTGGAAAGTAGTGGTATTTCCACCAAGAGGCAGAGGTAGCGTAGTAAATACTCTGGCGAAGCAATGTTTGAGCCGAGGGTGAACTCGGGGAACAACGCTTAGACGAGTCCTCATGCACCTCTACATTCCCTAAAACCGCACGCCTCGCTCTTCCAGCTCTTTAACGTTCTGGGGGTCCAAAGTGATGGACTAAGTGCCTCCATTGCAGCCTTGCTGTAGGAGAGGATTGTTATCCTTCTCCTAGGCTCTCCCCACTCCAAAATGCAGGATACGCAAGCCAGAATCGCGAAGATATCCGCCTGGAAAATAGTGGTGTTTCCACCAAGAGGCAGAGGTAGCGTAGTAAATACTCTGGCGCCAGAGCCCTTTTCGGCGACCGAGCCGGCTACCGGAGTTCCAGTTCGCCGAGGTTCGATACTCCACGCTAAACTTGCAGTTGAAGAGATATTCAGGGGTGATCAGAGGATCTTCCCTCTGCATGTCGACTAGAATGGCAGTGTGACTCTTGACAGAGTTCAAAAAGGCCCAGCTGCCCTGTCTCTACACTCAACGTACGACTATTCTCACTAGATTCAAAGGTGCGTTGTACGCCCTGGGCTTGTGATAGTGATACAAGCCAAACGCTGAATTTTATTGAGTTTGTCCTCAGTTGTCTAGGTTCCGATGCAAGACCACCAAACCAGTCGTACAAGAGAGATGGACGTACTATCGTTCTGTAGAGCCAGTGCACCACTTTGGGTTTAAACCCCACCTCACCACGACAACACTCCTGCAAGCCTTGTTAACCTACAACATCTCCCGTTCAGTTTACAGTCCAGGACGATTCCTAGATATTTTGCTGATCGGGATAGAATTAGCCTAGTCCCAAAGAAGATCGGCAAGACAAGCCCGTCAGGCCTCCTTCTCCTAGTGAATAGAATCAGCTCGGTCTTTCCAGCCTTTCGGCCTCGCTACACCACGATTCCACAGTGCGCAGAGCGCCCTGCATTATCTCAGAGACCATTCTACAAAAACGTAGCATAGGCTTGCACATAAGCACCCGCACGATGAGCTCGTTTACCAGGCAGTACAGTAGGGGTGACAGAACTCCGCCTTGTGGACAGCCCTGAGCTACACTGATGCTGCAGCATAGCTGTCCAGAGTGGATAGGACCCAATCAACTAGGATTGATCCATCCCTGTGCCCAACCAAGGTAGTGGTACAATTAAATGCAGTGGCGGCTCGTGCCAATTCAGTGAGGTAGTGCCAGAATGGAAGCCATAATTTTGAATCGATTCAAAATTGTAAAGAATAACTTATAACTTACCCCTGATAGTTAGTGGTCAAAGTTCTTGAGGTTCAATAAATCTATATGTCCAAAAAAAAATCAAAAATAAAACTATTTACACACGCGCACCAAATTATAAAACAAGTGTGGAGAAGTACCTATAACTTCAAAGTTTTCTATACATGAAGTCCATTCTTCTTTCTTTTTTGGTAGCAAAGTTTTCGATTACCTTATTATTAAAATTTTCAATGCCACTAACAAAATGTTTTTCTGCAGACAGCATTCCTAAAGCACTAAGCCTTTCTTCCTTCATTGTGTTTCTGAGGAAAGTTTTAATCCGTTTCAGCATTGAAAAAGAGCGTTCTGCTTCAGATGTTGACATCGGTATAGTGATTAAAATACTTAAGAGCTTAAGAGTTTCTTGAAACGTACAATTTAATCCTTCCTCGTTCAATAAAATGGATAGTGGAACAGCTCCAGAAGTAGTACTCAATTCTTCTCTCTGATATAATACTTGTAACTCAGTTTTAAGCCTGTTTTTGTCTAAAAATGAAAATTGTGTGCATGTGTCATTTAAATGTGCTTCAGGAAACTGATGTTTATAAACAGAAAACTTTTCAGACACAAATAAATTAGAAGCAACTAAATGCCCAGAAAAGTTAAATCTTGTTCTTATTTGCGATAATACTGCATCGCATATTTCTAACGCTTCCCGTTTTTTGCTGCCTTCTTCAACTTGCCTTTTTTTTCTTGCCGGTTCATCAGTTTCTCTCTGCACTCGTTCAATCTCGTCAATAATGCTATCCATTTGTTCTCGTATAGTTTGAATTGCTGCTTCAAAATTCTCTAAATCATTTTTGACCTTAACAGAATCGGTGCATACTTTTTGTAATTGGTTAAAGACAATTTCAACATGTGGCATTATTTTATGGAATATACTTAGCCAAAATACAAAATTTGTATCTTGCAGCTTTAATTTGTACCCACTGGCTTGATTAATCGACGAAGAATCGCGTGAAGTACTTTCTATATTGTCCATAACTTCAATCAGGTCTTTCCTATTTTCATAAACTGTATGAACACCTCGTGACTGAAAATTCCAACGTGTTTGGGAAGATCTTGGCAATCTGCGATTAACTATTTCATCCAAAATTTTTGTTCTTTGAGGAGACGTCGAAAAAAAAGAGCACAATCCAGATAAATTATGGAAAAATATTCTAGCCTGCTTATTGACAGAGCATGCGCTTGTCATAATTAGATTTAACTGGTGTGCATAGCAATGAACATAATTTGCAAGTGGATAAGTTTCCTTAATAATCTTTTGAACGCCATTCAATTCACCACTCATAACAGACGCACCATCATAGCTTTGAGCTATTAATTTGTTTGGATTTTGATCTATTAATGGATTTACAACATTTAAAACGCATGCAGCGATTGATTTGGCATCGTGTCCGTCGGGGACGTAAAATCTCCAAAATCTCTCAACTGGTTGTCCTTTACACAAATATCTGAAAATAATAACTAACTGAAATTCACAGGCTACGTCAGTCGTTTCATCGGCAATTACTGCAACAAAAGGAGAATTTGCAATCTCCTTCTTAACTTCTTCATGATAAACATCTAGCATGCACTCAAGAAGCTCGTTTTGAGTTGTTTTTGAGGTACCCTTGAAAAGTTTGGCACTTTGAATATGGACTTTCAATTCGTTGTCTAATTCGGCGCTAAAATTCACCAGCTCCTTAAATATGCCTCTGTTTTCCGAATTTTCCTTTTCATCGTGACCCCTTAAGGCTAACTCAAATGCTCCACAAAACCTTATACAATTAATAATTTTATTCAATACATATCGATTCTTATCCACTTGATTATTATGTTTAATTAGATCATTGCGATAAGCCGAATTGAGTTGAGTCCTTATATTTAATTTACCAAGAATAGAAAAGCTAAAAACATTATTCATATGGACTTTAGATTTTTCGTGGGTCTTCATTTTATCCCATATATGTATAAGATCATCTGTACCTTTTTTTGACCAAGTCTCGTCACCTCCAAATAGAACACATACAAAACAAAATAGTTTATTCGTTTCTTCACAACCACATATCCAGCTGTTTTTATCGTACACATTTTTATTAAATTTGCGACAGCGCGATTTTTGTCCGCTACCACTTTGTTTCTCAATTTTTAAATCGGGTATTGGCCGTCCTAATTCTTTAATTTGCAGTTTTTGATCCAGCGAAAAACCACTAAATGAGTTTTTTAATATCCCGATTTTATTCATTTTCACTAGTTTTAATAAAACAGTAAAAAATATGATCACAAAACAGAGCAGTTCATTAACACTAGACGTACTAAAACAAAAACGTTATTTCTCACTTTTCAGGTAAAAAAAGACCGAAATCAGCACTAGACGTAATCATAACGAAACGACCGACCGAACAAAAACACCGCCGATATCATTTGATAACGAATTACGACTGATGATGTGCCTGGCACAAATTATACTTGTCTTTCGCTATTCACCTCATATAAAAATGTGTATTGTAGCGTTATCTCTGTCGCTCGTAAGCGATGCTGGTAAAATTTCTCTCTTTTTATTTGGGCCGGCCCGACATTGGCACAAGTTGATGACGTCAAGGTCAAGGCATGCTTTATATCTCGTCGCGTGTTCGGGTGCTTGCGGTGTTGTCACGTTGTCAGTGTTGTCACTTCATATAATTTATACCAAAAAAAAAAATGAAAAAGCAAAAAATAAAGTAAAACATTGAAGATTGAAAAAAATATTCTTTTTGAAGAAGACAAGGTAGTGCCATGGCACCGTGGCACTACCTCACGAGCCGCCACTGATTAAATGCTCCCGAGACAAAGAGGCAATCTTCCGAGTGGCACACGACGGCGTCTCCTCGCCCAAAAAAGGGAAGAATGAGCAAATCCAAAGTGAAAACGATGCTCATTGTCTGTTTTGACATCAAAGGCATCGTCCACCGCGAATTTGTCAACGCCAAGTTTTACGTGGAAGTGCTCAGGAGACTCAAACGAAGGGTCAGTCGGGTCCGACAAGACAACGCCCCGGCTCACACCGCCTTTCTTGTGAACAGCTACCTGACCAAGGCCGGTATCCCAACGCTTCCGCAGCCGAACTACAGCCCAGATGTGCCCCCCCCCCCGGACTTTTTTTGTTTCAAAGGCCGATGAAAGGCAAGCATTTTGAGACGACAGCGGGGATCCAAGCAGCATGCACCGCGGCTCTCAAGGCTATTCCGGAGCATGCCTTTCGTGACGTCTTCAATGCTTGGAAATCGCGCTGGCAGCGCTGCATCGACGCGGAAAGAGCCTATTTTGAAAGTTTTTAAAGAATTGTAACGATTGGCTCAATACATTTTTTTTAAATCGACTCAGTCCTATTACTTTCCAGACAAACCCTGTAATTGTTATAGCCACATGCTTTCTTTTGTTCGCAGCAGTCTTTCCTGCTCCAGGAATGTTTCTTTCGAATCAGACCGGAAGGACATTCTGTGGCTTCGCCTCAACTCCAAAACATGCCCCAAGTTTCATCGCTCTCCCTGGACCATAACTGGAAAGATCTACTTGGATATCTCGCTGTCTAGATCGAATCCTTGGAAATAAATCGCTCTGCTGCAGAGGTAGTTCTCGGCGATGATTTCAATACCTATAATGAAGTCTGGTTGAAGCGTTCACTATTACCCAAGGACTGCTGGATCTCTTTCTGACCACGCGTCCTGCTGTCGTGTTTCTCCTGGGCGTTGTCGAGGTTATGTTCCTGTCGGAGCCGGCTCATACACTTGAAACATCGAGAACTGTGCGGTACGAGCATTCCAGCTTGTCGAAATTGTGGAACGATCTGTCTCAGGATGCTTTCCGCAGTTCAGAAATCAGTATAAGAAATCGTAAAAGAATGGGTCGAATATTGTATTTTTTTTTATTTTTCAGATACCTGTTGGCGAAACATGTCCTGAATTATACTCTCCTAGCGATTTTCACCTATTTCGTAGTTGTGACATGGATTTTATGAGAAAACGCTCTATTTGGAATGCAACATCTACGTATTATTTGCTTGTAACATTTGAGTATCGTGAATAAAAATTACTTGTACAAATCCGTTTCATATCGTTATTTTTCACTTCCCACTAAATGCGTGAATGTGCCGCAACTTGTGCCGCCAACATCTCGAGGTCTGATAGGCACTGAAGTTAAATGATCGGTGAGACACAGACTCCAAAATAAGTGTTCTATACTACAAACTGTATCTCCCATATTTTTCATCCGTCAAAAATTAGAAGAGTGTGCGTTTTTTGTGACTTTAGGCCCGTATCGTCAGTTGGCCCTACAATTGTAGGGCGCGTTTATGGCCTCCTTGATTGTCATACTCTTTTCTCTCCTTCAAAATTTTCTAGATTACACTTGTCCCGTGGCTAGCGCTATCCTATTGTGAAGATTTGTTTTCCTTTTAAATTGAAGGAAATTTCAGGCTGATGAAACATGATATAACTCAAAACCAAGCACAATTTGATGCAAATTGATGTTTGTGACATAACCTCAAAATAGCGCGCTGACACGGAGAAATAGAAAACTATGACAATCTAGGAGGCCATAAAGGCGCCCTGCAATTGTAGGGTCAACTAACGATACGGGCCTTTTCGACAATTTCGGCGAATTTATTTTTTTTCGTTTTTGGCCTTTTTCCGAGTGGTAATTTTATTGGCAAGTTCAACTTCAACGTTGACGTGCTTCCAGTTCAAACGTTGACGACAGTGGTCCGCAGTCAGAGGAAGCACCAACCGTCAACGGCATGAAGAAAGTACAAAGGTTCGAATGTGGCGATCGTAACAGGCCTGTCTTTTTTCCAAACCGTTGGTCAGTGATCTGACGCGTAGTAGGGCTAGTTAAGAATTAATGGTAAATCAGTGCCAGTACTAACTTAGAAATAGGCATTTTACATAATAAATAAATCAGACGGCAAACAAATAATTTGACAGGAAATTTCGATCGAACAAAAACACATTAAAGTAGATATTTATTTTGGGTGGATCCACATGTAATAATCAAACGGTTGTACTAAAACAAATTATATGCCGCTGGATTATTTTGCCTTTTATTGATGGAACTTTGTCTGGAAATACAAATGGGCATTATTCAGCGCTAATTATATAATTGAGATTTATTTGGACGGGATCATTTATTTTTCTCATTTTTCACGAGCCGACTCGAAAACAGACCTAAGTGAAGTCATTTTTCTGCGCAAGCCGATATACTTTGACGAGAGGCCACTTATGGAAGGGCAAAAGACGATGGAGGTAACTACTGGAGTGCCGCAGGGCTCCGTCATAGGGCCCCAGACTTGGAACCAGTTCTACGATGCTGCCGAAAATTCGCGAGAGAGATACACTTGAAGGAATCACGAGAATTGCCAAATGGATGGACGAAAATGGCTTGAAATTGGCTCCTGAGGAGACCGAAGTAGTTGTACATTCCGGCAGAGAGAAGCTGTTAGAGTTGATATATAGAGATGAGGTCACGGTCATATTAGAGGTCGCTGATACGTCCTTTTTTAATCCTCTCAAACTGCTCTCAAGGTTGGGATAACCGAGACTTCAAGTTGACACGTTCACACAGCAATAACGTAGCTACCGATTCGATGTTAGTTCACTGTGAGCATCTTATAGATCCGATTGATCCTCCGCGAGTGTATTCAAGTATCCAGAACGTGTCCGTCCTCCTCGATATTTCCATCAGAGCTGCGTAGGCTTGCTTATCTCGTGCAAAAGCCATCTGGGTGGACACAGTAGAAGACTCGGTCCCAAATGTTGCAAATTTAGGGACGATAACTGTAAGCAGTGATTACAAACAAATTGTACTAAGTGACATGCAACACCCAGAATTATTTATTAAATTTTGATAAAAAGTTGTAGATATACAGGGTGTCCTCAAAGTTGGGGTTTTCCTTTACACGACGTGTAGATCTTGAAAAGATAAGCAATTTTTCTTAGTACCATATACACCAATGTCTTAAGGGAACCGAGATAAAGGTCTCTGCAACATCAGAAATATCTGAATACCGTCCTGTAGCCGCGACCCGCCGCGATATCCCCGACTGGTACAAGGTCTCAACCCAACGGCAGAACTGGGTCGGGGTCAGTGTGTTAGGTTAGTATGCAACCTTCAACCGACGGTTACGGTCACGCATGTAGAGGTAATCGCGTAGACGAGAATCGCTCAACAAGCACTAGAGACGTGGCTAGAGAAATGCAAGTATCAAAAACTAAAGTGGCAAACGCTGCATGAAGAGAGGCTGTATCCGTTTCACGTCCAACGTGTACAAGCCCTTCAACCTGACGATTTTCCAGCAAGAGTGCGGTTTTGTTAGTGGTTGTTGCATCAACATGACAATAATCCGGACTTTTTGAAGTGCATATTGGTGACAGACGAATCTACGTTCACGCGTAATGGGGTGAATAACTTTCGAAACACTCATGTTTGGTCAGTAGAAAATCCGCACGCTGCCCTTCTCGTCAACTGGAGAGTGAGTACTTTTTTCTTTATTTTTTTTACTTGGTCGCCCTCGTTTCACTACACATTACCTTTGTTATTTCAAGGGTAGTTGTTTCTGGAAAGGAAAACCCCAACTTTGCGGACACCCTGTATATTTGCTATTGTTTTGTAAAGGCTTTTTTGTCATATGAGGATCAGAACAATAAGAACAAGTTTACTTAATATATTCAGTGATTTTTCTGTGTTGGTTCCATTTGTTTCATTGTTGATTCATTGCATTATCACGCCTACCGTAACGAGACGTTGCCGAGCATGGCTCCAAGAAGGCCAAAATCGACGAGCTATTTTGCGGAATTTCGAGTTCAAATTTTAATCACTTCCTATTCATCAGTACACCTGAAACTTGCAAAAGCATGCTCAAAATTACAGTACACCTAGTCGGTGTTACATTTACTATGTCATTTAGTATATGTGACAGGACCGTACTTGAAATGTCGTACCGAATAGCGAGTATTTTTCTACTTTTTTACTTTATTTTTGTTATATCCGAACCACACGGTAGAGTAAATCGATTTCACGACCGTCATTTCCGCGTGACATTGATTCGGCAACATGTCAAAATGCGTCACAAACCGAAAAAGCGTAAGCCCGCGATGAAATTTCGAGACGTGGCAACGCAAACAGAACTGTTCAATATTTTGGATCCGCGAGTCGTTCTGAACAGGCTGCATCCTCAGGAGATGGATCAGATAGAGACAAAAGCGGCAGGGAAGCCAACCGAATCATTAGTCACCGTACTCGATAAGCCAGCAAGGCTTTCCAGGTTGCCGCAAAGCTACAGGTAGGATGTTTTAATGTTCAATCGAATTTTTATCACTAAAAGAAAATACTTAAAAAGTGTTGGGACACCAGGATAAGTTACAGAATCGAAATTTAAGTATGTAAAACTTACAATATAAAATATTATAACTTCTGTATCATATATTCCAAGCGCTTGATAGTATCGTTTCTAATTTCTGTATTATATAGGCTATTCGCGAAACCGATAACGAATAACGAAAACGCAAATTCGACATTACTGTTTGACGACGAAGACGACCTGACGATTCACAACGTAGCGTTTGCGAAACCAGGACCGCTGTGTTATAAAAAAGGAATATCGAAAAAGATGAGCAGGAGTCTGGCGGCGCCCCAAGTCCGACACGAGCCTGAAGAGCGCGAAGAGAGAAATCGCCTAGAGCCTGTCATAGGTAAGAACCCACAATTTCTAACTAGATGGACGTACGATTTGTCTGTCGCCAGAATTATCTTGTCAATAGTCAGGACGTTCACGCTACAGTCGATCAGGCTTACGTCGTCAGAGTGCGTAAATGAAAGAGGAAAGATAATTGAAGTGTCACCTGTCATTGTCGCTTCGCCTCAATGGACGACAACTCAAAGCATCTTCAGCGACATTATATCTATATCGACGTTTCACGATGAACCTTCCAAAGAATCGTTTTCAGAGAGCTCGCAGGAAACTATCAGCACGCCAGATATTCTGGAGTTGAACCTCAACGTCAGCAGCATAGAGAGTATGATCGAGCAAGGCACACAGACGTTGGGCTCTTCCCAAGAAGACCACCCGGTAGAAGGCAATGCACAGGAGAAACTACCAGAACCAATAACGGAGCCGCAGAATAACGAGGAGCCCTCGATTCCCCGAATTAACGAGGAGCCCGCAGCGCACAATTGCTCGAACGGAGAGCCGATTAGAGAGGAACCTAGAGGTGCCAACACATCATACAGGTCCGTCTTCACTGGCGAAACTCCTGCACTACTGAATTGGTCTTCCTCTTCGTCTTCTTCTTCTGCGTCTTCTTCTTCTGCGTTCTCTTCTTCTGCTTCTTCTTCGTCTTCGACTTATTCTTTTTCTTCGTCTTCGTCTTTTTCTTCATCATCTTCTTCTTCGTCTTCCTTTTTTTCATCCTTTTCTTGTCCATCATCTTTTTCCTCTTCTTCCTCCTCTTCTTCCTCATCTTCTTCCTCCTCTTCTTCCTCCTCTTCTTCCTACTCTTCTTCCTCCTCTTCTTCCTCCTCTTCTTCCTCTTCCTCTTCTAATTTTGTATTTGAATTTCCAGGATGAAGATAAACGGAGTAGCAACAACGATCACAGCCGGCGCTGGAGCATCGACAGAAGATTCCACAAGTGACGACAGCGACAACGATGACAGAAATCGCGGACGCAGAACAAAGTTCGTGAAAATCAAGGCACATACGGTTCATATTCACAATCATTTCTATCAGAAATGAACGTTATTCTTTAGGATATATCTGTTACAATTTTAATAAGCATATTTGTGGTAGAAAAGAATATAATACACGTGTTTTAATTTTGACATTTCAGTTCTCGTCACTTTGCAATAGGGTATTTTCCAAGTATTTTATTTCAATGGATGTTTTATCAGCACTTTCTGTTGCTTTTCATGCATTTGATTCTGTATCCTGGTTATCATATCTTCTGCAGGGCAGTCAGCGTGTTTGCAGTTTTTGAAGTCATACTGTTTCCCTGGTGATTACTTATTTGTTGATTAGCGTTACAATAATTCAGTGTTAGTAAAGTTAAAAAGTATGAGAGCCTGGTTGTCACTGATAACATACTGTATGTGATAGAAGAAAAGAGGTAAATAACAGCGCAGTACGTCAGTGTTTATGATATCGCGCACGAAAGTTATTTGGAACATGCGAATGCACTCTGGATTCTATGACAGTCTAAACATTCAAAATCCCCGCATAAATATACCGCGCTACTGCTTCCACTATATGATAATGTTTACCCAATATTTTTACGTCGGTGAGAGCGAGCTTTGCGCGGAAATTCTGCGGGAAATGGCCGGAAAGCTGTTTTCAGCGATAGCAGAGAACCTGGAAAATCTCTTCTTTGCCTGTTGACTGTACGCAGCGAATTTATTTTGACCGTAATTTTTTTATATTCAAGGCAACATAACATGAGCTTCCTTGCCAGTTCTGGCATAGGAAGAAAACACCTATTTCCTGGCCTATTACTATTTTTAATTTGCCCACCAAAAACTCCATGTGCAGAAAATGCTATTAAATATATAACCCAGCTTTCGCTGTTATTATAGATACTAATCAGTTTCATTCCGTAATCTCGATTTGAAGATCTCATTCGAATCCTAATTCTGGCTCTGCGCAGGGATCTGTTTACAGAGTTTTATGATTTGTTTTAGAAAGAGTAAGTGTGTGAAACCTCACACGAAGAACCAGCAACGTGGTATGGTGTATCAGCCGCCGAGTAAAAGTAAATACGGGAACCGATATTTACACGAAAACCACAATAAAATTACATACACAACCACGGATTTATTATCAACTATCAAAACGAGCTTTCATCGTTAACAGCTATCATACACAGTTTTTTCTCTCCCATCTCGTAAACATGTGCGCCATCGGCAAGCATAGACGGAAATCTCTGTTTGAAGTTCTTTTCTGACTTACCGCATCTTGTAACATCGACGAAATAACTTGCCCGGATATCGCAATTAATATCGACGAAATTATCTCAAAAATGACATATCGTTTCGGCCGCCATCAAATCCCTACGATCCCTAAGTAATTATAATAATATAAGTAATGTTCTAGCATCAGATTTCCAACCAGTAGCGTGCTTTCTAGTTCATTTCGGTGAACTAGTTCAGTAGGTCTTGCTCACTTGTTCCTTGAACTAGTTCGTGAACGAACTATTTTACATAATAGTAATGTTCTAGGAACACATTTCCAGCTGGTAATGTGCTTTCTAGTTCATTTTGGTGAACTAGTTCAATAGATCGCACTCACTAGTTTCTTGAACTAGTTCGTGAACGAACTATTTTACATAAGAGTAATGTTCTAGGAACACATTTTCAACGTGTAATGTGCTTTCTAGTTCATTTCGGTGAACTAGTTCAATAGATCGCACTCACTAGTTTCTTGAACTAGTTCGTGAACGAACTATTTTACATAAGAGTAAAGTTCTAGGAACACATTTTCAACGTGTAATGTGCTTTCTAGTTCATTTCGGTGAACTAGTTCAATAGGTCGAACTCACTAGTTTCCTGAACTAGTTCGTGAACAAACTATTTTATAAAAGAATAATGGTTTAGGAACAAGTTTCCAACTAATAATATGCTTTCTAGTTCATTTCGGTGAACTAGTTCAATAGGTCACACTCACACTCAGTTCGATAGATTGCGCTATCTAGTTCCTTGAACTAGTTCGTGAAAGAACTATTCTACATAAGAGCAATGCTCTAGAAACACATTTCCAACTGATGTGCTTTCTAGTTCATTTCGGTGAACTAGTTCGATAGATTGCGCTATCTAGTTCCTTGAACTAGTTCGTGAACGAACTATTTTACATAAGTGTAATGTTCTAGGAACACATTTTCAACGTGTAATGTGCATTCTAGTTCATTTCGGTGAACTAGTTCAATAGATCGCGCTGTTGAGTTCCCAGAACTAGTTCGTGAACGAACTATTTTATAAAAGAATAATGTTCTAGGAACAAGTTTCCAACTAATAATATGCTTTCTAGTTCATTTTGGTGAACTAGTTCAATAGGTCACACTCACTCGTTCCTTGAACTAGTTCGTGAACGGACTATTTTACATAAGAATAATGTTCTAGGAAGACATTTCCAACTAGTAATGTGCGTTCTAGTTCATCTAGTTGCTTGAACTAGATCATGTACTAACTATTTTGCATAAGAATAATGTTCTGATATCACATTTCTAAGTACTATGCAGTTCATTTCGATCAACTAGTTCAATAGGTCGCGCTCAGTAGTTCCTTCAACTAGTTCGTGAGAGACCTATTTTACATAAGAGTAATGTTCTAGGAACACATTTCCAACTAGTAACCTGCTTTCTAGTTCATTTCGGTGAACTAGTTCAATGGGTGGCACTTACTAGTTCCTAGAACTAGTTCGTGCACGAACTGTTTTACATAAGAGTAATGTTCTAGGAACACATTTCCAACTAGTAACCTGCTTTCTAAATCATTTCGGTGAACTAGTTCAATAGGTCGCACCCACAAGTTACTTGAACTAGTTCGTGAAAGAACTATTTTACATAAGAGTAATGTTCTAGGAACACATTTCCAACTAGTAACCTGCTTTCTAGTTCATTTCGGTAAACTAGTTCAATAGGTGGCACTTACTAGCTCCTAGAACTAGTTCGTGCACGAACTGTTTTACATAAGAGTAATGTTCAAAGAACACATTTTCAACTAGTAATGTGCATTCTAGTTCATCTAGTTGCTTGAACTAGTTCATTTACGAACTATTTTGCATAAGAATAATGTTCAAGCATCACATTTCCAAGTACTTTCCAGTTCATTTCGATCAACTAGTTCAATAGGTCGCGCTCAGTAGTTCCTTGAACTAGTTCGTGAACGAACTATTTTACATAAGAGTAATGTTCTAGGAACTCATTTTCAACGTGTAATGTGCATTCTAGTTCATTCCGGTGAGCTAGTTCAATGGATCGCGCTGTTTAGTTCCTTGAGCTAGTTCGTGAACGAACTGTTTTACATAAGAGTAATACTCAAGGAACACATTTTCAACTAGTAATGTGCATTCTAGTTCATCTAGTTGCTTGAACTAGTTCATTTACGAACTATTTTGCATAAGAATAATGTTCTAGCATCACATTTCCAAGTACTTTCCAGTTCATTTCGATCAACTAGTTCAATAGGTCGCGCTCAGTAGTTCCTTGAACTAGTTCGTGAACGAACTATTTTACATAAGAGTAATGTTCTAGGAACTCATTTTCAACGTGTAATGTGCATTCTAGTTCATTTCGGTGAACTAGTTCAATAGATCACGCTGTTTAGTTCCCTGAACTAGTTCGTGAATGAACTATTTTACAAATGAATAATGTTCTAGGAACAAATTTCTAACTAGTAATATGCTTTCTAGTTCATTTCGGTGAACTAATTCAATAGGTCGCGCTCAGTAGTTCCTTGAACTACTTAGTGAATGAACTCTTTTGCATAAGAACAATGTTCTAGTATCACGTTTCTAACTAATAATGTGCTTTCTGGTTCATTACGGTGAACTAGTTCAATAGGTCGCGTTCACTAGTTCCTTGAGCTAGCTCGTGAACGAACTATCTTACATAAGAATAATGTTCTAGCGTCACATTTTCAACTATAAATGCACTTTCTAGTTAATTTTGGTGAACTAGTTCAATAGGTCGCGCTCATTAGTCCCTTGAACTAGTTCGTGAACGAACTACTTTACATAATAATGTTTTACATCTGCCATGATTATTTGAAAGCAACTAACAGGTGATCACTTGGCATATTTAACGATATTCGCATTATTTGTAATTGAATTCGACCTCGGTAGGTCATTAACTCAAAAACAAAACAATGTACATCGTACACACGGCGTTGATCTGAGAAAGTGACTGATTGCGATGCGTCTGGACATTGTATACTTTGGCAGGCGACTGACACCTTTCGTGGAGCTGGAACGACGCTGCGTCTCTTCATTTGCACCTCCACGCAGCCATGTAGCCGCCTCGACGAGCAGATCTGTGGCCCATTTATTTACGGCCAACCCGCCAACTTATAGCACAGGAATGATAGGCAAATATATTTCTTACGAAAGGAGGATCAATGCAATGCCGTTTAACGTAATTTAATCCTCGGATCTTAACACCAGTTTCTATACAAGTTCTTCTGCTACTTTGGTGGAATAGGGAAATGCGAATTTTCGAGATTTACGGAACTATCTCACGCAAAAACTATTGAGGATATCTGATTATCTCAAAAGTATTTTGTCAGTTTTTCATACTTATGGACACTTTAAAAGACCTCTATTTTTTTCTTGGATATACTCTAATATTTTTGATCTTATGTTTAAACCGACTGCTAGACCCACATTAAACGAACTTTTTCAGGAATGGCTTTTTCTCAAAAATCCCTTATTTGTTAACATATGTGCAGACAATTTAAGGAATAATATTACAGTCTCAAAAGTAGCAATTTTTTAGCAATGTTTCAAAATGGCGTAAACTCAAAAACCGAGCACAACCGGATAAAGACACACGTTACTTTTTTGATTAGAAATAACCTCCCTATCACCCCTTCCGTTTGATTCACGGGTTTTGAGAAATTCTGTATAGTATAAAATTTTCTAAAAGGAATCATTTGAAATTAGAAAAAAACAGATATCGCATCTTTCCGATTATGACCGTACTATTGGAAGGCTGGTATTTTTAATCTGGTAAACGGTCCATCTACTGACGGATGACGGACTGGTAGCGTATACATTTGAGACGAAAGGAATGTTGGAGTTTCCCGAGAAACTTTGCGGGATCGTCATTTGGAAGTGAAT